AAAATGAGCAATAAAAAACTACGTTTGTTTTTTCAAATGCTACCTTTATTTTTCTAGGCCAAGGGGATGAAGAACTGGCATGTTCTCATCGTATGTCTTCCATGCCAACTTTTTTTTTTTTTCGCTTTGCGCGGCTTTCAGAGTTCGTTTGCCCTCGCTGAACTGTTGTGTAATCCAGAGTTCAAGTTCACCTAGTGCACGCGGATGACACGTGGAGTGAATAATTCGCGATTTTTCGTAAAGCAAAGTTTCTGATTGGAGAGGGGGAGTGGACTGCGAAATTTCGGCCTCATTCGGTTTAAAGCTCGAGTATTGTGATCTTACTCTGCAGGGATTGAAAAAAATAACGATGAGTGACGCCAAATATTTTCTCTTCCCCTGTCCAGATTAGCAGCGTCGATTGAAGACACCACGGTGTACTCAAGAAGATTTTAACGAAATCGGTGAATCCAGAAGTCTTCATTTGCTAAATTAGTTTACTGAGTGACCAATGGGGCTGAATAAACCACTCTCGAACGAGAGTATCATTAATACAGCATCGTATACAGTGGAGCTCTGACCGACCCATGAACTGGTTGACTTCATTTGAATGATCCTATAAATGGAAAAAAATTTTCACCTGAGGAAAATATTCAACGACGTAAACGATAGAAAATAATTTATGAAGAATGAGCCATGCTAGTCTTGATCCGTTCGGGAATGAAGTTATTTTTGCAGGGAGTTCTTTTTACTCCGAAACTTGCGATTTACCATTAGATTGTTTTTAAAAAATTAAATCAATTCAGAATTGAATGATTCCCTCGCCTCCACTAGACCAGAAATCTGATGCGTTTGCATGTGTGTCAGAAAGTCATGACTGGTATTATTCGAGCAGGGAAATTTTGAACTGCCTGAGGGAATTATGATCCTTCCTAATTCACAGAAATAAAACACTTGACGACGAAAATATGAGATGTGTACACGTTATGGATGCAGATGTACAGTTTTTTTTATCAACTCATAATCCCAGGCATATGTTAATTGAAAGTCTGTTACATCAAAGAACAAAGTTCTACGTGAAGTTTGACCCATTTTCGATCTGTACAAGATTTTTTTTCAATTGAAAAAATCCATACGGGGATTGGACTCCTTGCAAATGAGCGAATATGATTCGTATAATTTCTCGTGCTGTACTTTAATTTTTCATAGGGGATCAGCAAATTTTCTTGAAAGAAAAAAAATGGGTTTGCTTTAGTAAACGTAACAATCGCATCGGAAACTGAGTATAGCACGACAGGGCGCCTCAAGATTTACTGCGAACCACGGCGCCACAGAGGGCGTCTAATTTTTTCTCGCATCATTCTCTGGAATTTATTATTCCAGTTTTGTCCCCCAGAGCGGGTCGTTGCGCGACAACGGCGCACTCTTGGGTCCGAGCCCTTGACGTATTGGCACTGTTCGGAGCCGCGCACGTTGGCTTGAACTGACGACCAGCCTACCCAATGGTCCCCGATGGCCTGATCTTTCACCATAATCGTGATTAATCCCGCGACAATGCCGGCTTCGATGCTAGGGAAGTGGCGCACGCTTGCATGGGATGATACGGGAATTGACACAGCAGTTGGTGCAAATCGGAAATGATGAGCCGTTGAAAGGCGACTACCTGTGTCGGAATGCGTGACTCACCGATATACTCCGTTCCTAGGCGCTCTCTGGAAAGTGCAAATGCATTGAATGCGGACTGAAATCCATAATCCGTCGGCCAAAGCTTCGTGGACAGAAACAGATCCTCCCTCGGAATCCCGCTTTCCTATACGAATCAAGAAAACGCCCAAAACGTAAAAAATCCCCGGAGTAACATCGCGCTTATTCATCACTACACAAAAATATTTCTCTGTTCGAAAAAAAAAAATTCCATGGAAGATTTTGACGCTTATAGCTCGGATCTTCTAAACTTTCGAAAATCATTTTTGCGCTGCTTGAACTTCCATGAGATTTGTCATGATGAGATTTGTATACACAGTACTAAAACGAATCGTGCAATTTTCACATATGATCAGAAACAGAGGCTCACATATGATCAGAAACAGACGAAATACTCAGTATAGTTATCTCTTCGCGAAATTCTTCTAAAAAATAAATAAATACAGTATAATCTGTAGATTAATGCCCAACAGTATCAATAAGTTCGCAAACAGATTCATGCACTCAATTTTGTGACTTTTTGACAAACGAAATTGACGAGGAAGATTCTACAGCTTACTTCAATAGCAAATCGTAGTTTTTCCTCGTTTCCGTATCGCCTCGCTGTGTCAATTAGCCGGTATCCACAGTTTTTTAACGCGTGAACGACTGCTTCGTGAGAGTATCCGCCGGAATGGGTAGTGCCTATTTTGCAGGTGAAATCAGTGTCGAACACGACGAAATCGAGCAATCATAAGTGGTTCTGTACTTACCCAACCCCAACATCGGCATAGAAACATTATTCTTCAGCTGTACTTCCGCCATTAAAAATATCACGATATACGTACAGTACCACGAGCGCTGAAAGTTTTCTCACTTTTCGTGCACTAGCCTGCAAGACAATTACAGCTGAAGTTTCAAAGTGATAGTTTCTAGCTCACTTGATCTAGAGCCACTAGAAAAAAAATTGTGCTTTTTTACAGAAACTAATGGAAATGTTTATGTATTTTGCGGAACACGGAATATTTAGATTTCGGCTCAACTCTTGAGACAAGAAATTCGTCAACAATACTGGGTCTTCATGAAACGATTTTCTCATTTCCAAGAAATCTTCCTGTAATGAATACTCTTGTATCTTCGAAGAGGCTTAGATAAAGTTCACCCTGTATCAATCGTCACTGTTTTAGGTCAGTGCAGCGAATTTTTCAAATAAATTCCAAGCAAAATCGAGCACGTTATTTGCGTTATTTTTTTAATGCTAAATTTAGCGTGGAAAAATTGCGTACTGAACATTCGTTGATGCGATCGTTTTTCGAATTCGTCACAAGGAATGCAAGATCCGCGTGTGACAAGAGCAAAAGATCCCGAAGAACTCGCTGATTGCGCCAAGCTTTCCCTACGTGGCTCCACAAGCTGCCTGCTCCGAGGCAAGCAAGAGAATGAACAACGCGAGAGCAAAGCGCGGCGTTTTCTTCTGGGTTCAGTTGGAGATCAGTTCTTGGACCCTCTCGCGAACCATGCCATGTACAGAGCAGAAAAGGAAAGTTTCCCTCGTTTTCGCGCAATTACTTCCCGAAAGCCGTCAGAGCTCAACTGCATACATACCAGTTAAATAATTGGAATTTCTATAGTGTTTCATCTTCACGCGGATCGTTGTGAATGCATTCAACCGTTTTCTGAAAGAAAAATGTGCATTGGATGCAGTATTTGGATCCACGTGAAATCACTGTATTTCAAATTGAAGGCCTCGAAAAGTGTGCTCTCAATTCTCATACAAAGACGTTAACCTGACTGGGCAACATTGATCGGTACCCCGCTGTCTGATCCTCTGGTTAAATTAGGTGTCCTTTACAAGAGATTAAACTGAAGTTTCCCACTCGTTTGCTCAGCAGCAAGCATGATCATGATATTTTTCACAGCGTTTCAACAGGCCACTCGAATGCCGCATGTTTGCATCCGTCTTCAAAGTCCGGGTCGAGAACGCTCGAATAACGAACCCGAGTACTGTACTGTATCCGTTTCTTTGCCAACAATGCGATTTTTTTTGTGAATACCGGGAAATGCCTCCCTTCTGCTGGAATAAATGAGTCGGCCGTTTGGCGATGTTAGGATTTTTTTCTCGGTATGCCTGCGACGCATTTTTCCTTGTCCTGCACTGGCAGTTCATTCTTTCATGGGTAAACGCGAAATTCTCGAGTTCAACCCATGGGTGCAGATGTCACTCAATCAAAAAATTAACGGGAGCTATGTTGTAGATTTGCTCCACGTACTCAAAAAACGTTCAAGTTTTGTGTTTGGCGTTTCTTAAAAGTGCTGCAAATTACGCACGAATTTGCATTGAAATAAGCATAAAAAGCTGGAAAATAGTTATTTTTAATTATTTTCCAGTCTATACTATTTTGCTTGGTGCTGTTGACAAATAATCCCAATACCGTATGCGTAAATTATATTTAGACACTGGACAAATAAATTACTTCAGATACTTCTAATGGCGACCTGTATACAGTATATGGAAAAATTATGAAATTCGGCATTCGATCAAAGAAAATTAGCAAATAAATTTAATTTTCGCGCTGTGTTTCTATTTGGTGCTTTTGTTTACATAACAAGCATAAGCTGCTTTTCAAAAGAAGGTCGTCTACCGTGACTCATTCGACTGTAGTAACAGAATGTAAACGATTCCTAAANAAACGATTCCTAAACAATAGACCTTTGATGAAAATCCTCATTGTCCTGGGGGGCCAGTGCGTCCGGGGCATACCCAGACGCAAAATAAGGGAATCAAATACTGCACAGTATACAGCAGTACAGTAATGTGGCCTTGGACCTCCTTAACCACGAAGTTTTCTAAATGGCAGACGTGTATTCAAAACCTAAAGAATTGTGATCACGGACGGTAAATGTCAACCAGCACAAAGAAAATCCCACATGGAAGCCAATATATGAGTGAAAACGATTGAAAAATATAAGCGCAAGCAAAAAGAGGGTCTTCATCTGAATGGTACCCATAGCAGACGCCCAGTTCTGTACAGTACTGATATAGTCTCGCTTTATTTAGCCATCCATCTGAGTAAGTGGTGACCATGTCCAGTTCTGGTCTGATCATCAGAGAGTCATTTGGTTTCTTCCAACAATGTAAATAGTGCATCACATGCACGCCAGTCTTGTGCCTGAGCGTGGAGAGATGAAGCCGTGGAAAAGTCGAATTTTCTGGAAAGTACAAATGATCATCATCAATAGTGACCAGGACAAGCTTCCAGAGTTCTCTACTCTGCAGAATGAGAAACATTCCAGCAGCATGTGAGTCGTTTCCATAGTTGGACACGAAATATTTCTCAGTGGTGCAGTCCCACTCGATCGCTTAAGAAAAGAATGGGGAAAATCTCAAAAGCTTTATTTGTCGCCCTTGCTTATTCCGTGACAGCAATACTGTACAGGTAATATCCTCCCGACATGTGTTAAATGTATACTGTAATTGGTCTTCCAGGCTCTCCGATAAGCATTTGCTTAAAGTTGAAAACATCCAAACCTCCCGTATTTGATCAAGGATGAGGACTACCTCCTTCATCTGAGCAGTTCCAGAAGCAAATGTGGAGTGGTTTGTCTCATTTTGTGTCATCAGTAGTGATGACCAGGCCCAGTTCAGATACAGTCTTCAACAGGTTGCTTTCCAATCGCGTATATGCTGCATAACATTTCAGTCAAACATATGGTGCAGCTTTAAAGGTGCTTAATGATGTAGTACCACTTTTGCAGGCACCAAAAGCGACATCTGGCTGCTGGATCAGCAGCAGCGCCGCCCATAGGCTGGAGAGCTGTAATCGTAAAATGTATGCATCTACAAATATTTTCGTACTGCTTGGAAGTACTTATTTTTTTAGAGTATGCTATGATTTCACCTACAGTAGTGGAGGATCGAAAAATTAATCCATAATTCACAAATTTATCTGCAGCTTATTTCATGAATTTATGACGCTCTTAAGAGTGGAAATATTTTCTCTCTGAAGTGGCAGAGACATGGTACATGTGAACAATATGACTGTGTGTTTCAGTGACATTTCTGAGATTTTTGTGTGTTGATGCTTTAACCTAGATGAAGACAACAGAAAATTATCCAGGGTTCCAGCTGGACTAGAAACACCTTGCAGTCTCTGCCCCTTAAAATTTCTTTTTTTTTTGATCGGACCAGCTCGAAGAGAAAGACAACGAAGTATTTAATGAGGTGCAATAGTAAGTCGAAAAAGAGCTATTATTTCTGCTTACAGCATTTTTGATGGCAAATACAAAATAATCACGCAAATGGCTCTTGTCAAAGAGGGCGAGAGAGTACATACAACAATACGAAGTAACATTTGATCAAAAAATCTGCAACATGAGACTTGGCGACACAACAGGAGCGAACAAAAATATCAGATCACAAATAAGCTCTTCACTGAGACGATCAATAGTTCTTCTTTCGGGCAAAGCAAAACAAAAAACAAAAAAAACGGAGTCAGATGAACTGGCGGTGGACAAATTCTTCAGGTCGGAAGGGCCTCTGGAACGTGGACATCACGGGGCTGCCGACTACGGGCGAGAACTGGTTCCTTGACGGGAAACTCATGAGTCGGTCTCGTTGCATTTGTGTTCCGTCGATGTCACGCCATTCGAAGTTCTTGGTCGAACCCATGGACCGCGGCAGGGTTCCCAAGTGCACTGGCCTTCTCTCTGCCGGTCGTTCGTCTTCCGCATCAGACAAGTGTCGTCCTCGAAGGATTGACTGCAATCCAAGGGTACCATTGTGGAAGCCATTCGCATATACTGGAACTGAAATGACGCCCAAACGGGAAATGAGGAGAGAAACACGCGGAACTCAAAGAGGTAACTCATCAGGAAGAAAAACAATAATAACCAGATCAAGGAAAATGTGCAAGGAACTGATTCATTGGAAGTGATATTGAACTCTGCAATATGAACGCTCACGTGTTTGGCCTGTCAAAACTCAAATCTCAGTTCTATTCTCCCACCTCTTCAGTACAGTATTTGAGAAATCAAATAACAAGGTTGAATCGTATTCATCCATTGATCACGTGAATAATATTGAGGATATCCCGTTTTCTTCTGGTTGACCCCTGACCTAACTTCCTTTATTAACATGAAGTACTTTTTTTATTTGACTCTAGGCGTCCGGAGGAGATATTTTCTTCATTAATATTAATAGATATATACCCTATTAACGACGCTGCATTTTTGTTCGGCGTATTTTCCAGTCAATAGCAGGAGAGGGGGGGGGGGCGGCAATATGTTTCTAAAGGGCACCATGCATTTTTAAATAATTGGAATCCCTTTCTCGAGCATACTCAGTTGAATCAGGATGTCAACAATGCATGACCGCATTAGGATTTTAGCATTTATTTGGGCAGCAATAACTAGAGATTCAAAAGATTCCCGAGAGAGCCCCAAGAATTTCCAGAAAATTCATTTCCTTATTCTATTGTCTTGAAAAGGTTCGAAAAGGATTTGCTCGTAGAGGAATCATAATTTCAATTGCTGAACATCAAATAGCTTCCAGTGATGCCGTCACATAGTCCATAAACTAGGAAAGGGTGAGGAAAATATCCCCAACTTTATTTTTCTCTCTTGGTTATTCCATGACAGGGATGATATCCTTTCCCGCATTGAGTGCATTAAAAGTTCCACTGGCCTTCTAGACTCTCCATGCATCTGCTGCATGTAGGAAACATCTGACCCTTCCTATTGGATAGATATTTTCTCCATTTGCACAAAGTTGACGGTCTTGTAGAATCAGAGACGAAAAAAGTTTCCTCTTGGGATACGCGGGAAAATCGCAACTTCACAGAGTCACTACTTGACGCGCCAAGGACCAGGCACGGCTTTTAATTAAATTAATACCTGGCGAAAGCAACTTCTCATTCATCCTGTTCTATCTACAGCGACTATGCCTCCATTTACGGCAAAATTCCAGAAATTTTCATTCATCTCACGACAAAGCTTTGAAAACCTGTTCTAAATTCTACGAATCGAAAGGAGTTTCGACAGTCCACCGAGCCAAAACTACTCGCCAGTCAACAAACCGGATTACGCTCGAATTTTCTGTTAGTCGAAAAGGAGTCTTCGTTCATTACAGAGCTCTTCTGTGCGCCAAAAATCAGACTGTACTTGGAAATCAGTATAAAAAAACTAAAAAGATAACCAGCGTGCAGACGAAAAAAAAAGTGACGCAAATGAAAGGAAATGTGATTGCAGTTTTCTAGTTCAAAGAGACCAGAGAAATGATTAGCGAAAGAATTTTCATGTCTTACGAGAATTGAGCTGTCCGGACATGTCCAGATATTGATTATCATCATCGTGGCGGCGTGGTTCACGTTCCGTCGCGAATCTTGACATAGGTACCACGTGAGGCAGTGTTTGTGCCATTCTCGTGGTTGGTGCGCTGTAATGTGGCGCCACCTCGCCATCGTCGAGCAAATACGTCCGTTTTGCAGCTATCGTCTGGAAATAAAAAATATTCAGCGCTGGGATCATTGCATTCGGCTTTCGATTATCGCCGATTTATGCATTGATGCACGATGGTGAAATCAAAAACCTCGATGGCTTTATCATTCGAAAAATGAATGAACGAAGCAATATCGTGTACGCGTTCCATGAGCATATATTCCATTCATTTCGCATGCATGAAAAACGATTTGACGACTTGCGTGATTTTACCATATAATATTTAAATTGACTATGAAAAGATATGTAAATGCTTTTCCTGCATGTTGGAGATACTGTATCAAGAAATGCCGATTACAAATTTTTCAAGCCTAACGGAAGGTTTCAAAACTTATCAGATGCTGTTAGGATTAATGGTTTTGAAGCTTTTTTTTAGGAAACGGCAAAGAATTTCTTTGTAAATCGAGTTTCGCAATTCTCTCTCGAGTCTAAACCTCTGGGATTAATGGCAAAACCTGAACCAAACTAGCTGATAAGAACTTTCCTCTCAATTGCAGCCCCTACTCGCCGAATGCAACATTATTTTGTTAATTTACATCCATCTACGGAGACTTCATAAAATGGAAGCATAAGACTGATATTGTATACGAAATATGAACCAACCCTCGTATCTGTAGACTATACTCAGCAGCCATCGCGAACAAAAGATAAAACAGAGGATCCAGATCAGAAAGTGTTAACCTCGTGTAAACCTAGTGTGTCTGTCGAGTACAACGTCACTCGTCGCTTAAATGGGTTCTTTCCGCTTCTTCAGTGTCGTCTGTCGAGATTTGTGCGAACAGTTTGTGTAATCGATGCCCGAAGAATGACAAACTAGGGTCGTGTCGGAATTATTTGCTCTGGGGAACTGTGCACTCACGTTGTCAGTCGTCGCTGACGTCTGGCTTTTTTCGGAAGTGAAGCTCACTGTGTCCCCAGTCCGTTCCGTCGGGTACGTCTCGTAGGAGCTGGTGTACATTTGGATCGCCGGGTTCCTTCTGCCACCGTATTCGCTGGGCGCTGAAGAATTGATAACGCCGGAACGTCAGCTTGTGGTGAGTAATTTCTGCTTTGTTTTTTTCGACATTATTGCATGAACTATTCTTAATTTTTCTATATATACGCGGATCCAGATGGACGCGCAAGTTCTTGCTGCCCGTCTCATAGATGTGTTGCTTTTGTTATCGATTCACTATCACCCCAGTCTTGAATTCGCTGCTGTTCGGGCAACACTTTTTTTTATTGTCGTTAATCAGCCGACTCTTGCGTTAATGGTAGCCCAACATGCGTCATATTCGGGTCATCATCCTATTTAGCGATTATCCTTTAGTTCCATACCTTGCTTGTGTGCGTGAGGTCGTCTGCGACGATTGATGACGCAACTGACGAGGGATATGTTGATTGCGACCAGAACTACGACACCAACGATGATCGCGACGACAAGTAACTGTGACATCTCCGTTTGTGATGGTTCTGAAGGGATGGGCGGTCCGACGGGCGATGGAGAATATCCTAAAAAATAATGCGAGACATTGAAAGCTCATTTTATTGAGAACAGTACGCCGCCGGACAAGTCTCTCCAACCGGAAAAAAAGAGAAGGAATAATTCGGCAAAATACGGCTCTTCCGAGAGTATAATCCGCCATAAAATCTATCGTACCCCCCAGTTTTACATCCCATTAAAGTGAAGAAACTTTGCTGATAAATTTACCACGTACGACACTTCACTTCACTTCTAATAGAAGTGCGCGAAGAAAACATTGCCGAATGCTTTCCTATGTTTCCACTTCGAAACATCGGTTCTCTGCCAATTATTCAGATTAAGCAAAACTATCCGTGATGGAGAGACTTCAATGTGCAAATATAAAACGCAGTTACTACGAGTGGGCATCTTTGACCACTTTCATGATTTTTCTGACGATCATCTGCAACTCTAAAACGCTCCCTGCTTTTTTTTTTTTTTCTTGGGGGTATTAAATGCGGTTACAGTTTTTCCCCCGTTTTTAATGTGACTGACACGCCTGAACTTATCTACCGATCGGCAAACACACCCCGAAGAAGCCGTGTACGTTGACTTAAGACCTAACGACGACCGAGGATTTGGCAGGCATTTCGGAGAAATTTGCTTCAGGCGCACACTTCATCAGTTATCCTTCGGTATGTTTATACCCGATTTGCTTCTGAGTTGGTTTCCTCGAAATAGTCCCAAATTCACTAATTGGGCTCATCGCGACATCAATAGGGGAAAGACCCGAGGGGCACCGACTTGAAAGCGCCCAAGTTCGGGATAATTTGTCACGAAGAGGCACAAAGGGAAACGCGAGCAGAGGGAATAACAGCCCCGGGTTTCACCGCATAATTTCTCTGAAAGGGTTCGTGTTTCACTACACCTGAGGAACATTTCAATTCACCCCCGAGGCGCTTATGGTACGGGGTGCCTTCTTAACGCCGAGAAACTAGATATTCGGTCAAGGAGCATGCTAAACTCGCGGTGGATGCACTTTAATGATTTTGGGAGCCAAAACGAATATATTCTGCACCTGCAACCCATCGTTGGCCAATCGATCCAGAGAGTCGAAACAAGTTGAAGTTCTACAGACATGACCCCTGCATTCAGAGACAAATTTTCTTTCAATATGCTGCACAAACCCAAGTCACTATGCTGCGCATATATGGCCAACGCGAACATTAAAGAAAATTTTCCGCAACGTATATCGTTCATATTAAAAAAAGACAAGATATTTATATGACGTATATAACCAGTTTGAAAACAGAAGGCGATATTTACGAAGAAAAGATGACTTGAAGGCATACGAAAATTTGGAAGCGTGACAAGGCATTGTGAGACCAAGTTACTTCTCATTTTTTGAATCACTCTGAACGTACATACCTTTGCACAGGAAATATGGGCCGAAAAGCATAACGATTTCTCAATTGTGATATCTCGCGAACGTTGCGAGCTATCAACAACATCGAAAAAGGAAATTTAAATTCGAATTTTCCTGAATAGTTAGTCAATCAGGGGACGCATAAAGGTGGCTATCCGACACTTTAACTTAAAAGCTACGTAGACCGCTTTTCTTTTAATGAATCAACATTTGGACTCGGATAATCTAGTGCTAGCGCCCTAACACCCGAAAAATCAAGGATCTGACAGACAGATTAATATTTTCATGAAGAGGCAGAAATCAAGAAAGCTTTCCAGTGAAATTTTGAATAATCGCGTCAAAGGAGGAATAAGAACAGTAATGGGTTAGACCAGTGTTCCCCAACCCGTGGTCCGCGGACCGGCGCAGGTCCGCAGAAGTTCTTTGGTGGTCCTCGGGAAATTTTCTGTAGCATGAACAAATTATTAAAAACAGCAATGAAATAATTTATTTTATCTGAAATTTCAGTAAGATAATCGCAGTTGAAATTTTCTGATGAACAAGTTGGCTTTTCTCCTAATAGCACTTCAGACAACTTTTCACCTCCTGAAATAAATTATTTTAATTTTTTCATTCTGAGAAACCTGTCTTAAGCCCACCTTTCTAATTTTTAGAAGAAATTCCGCTCTAACTTCTTCATTGGTTCTTACTTTTTGCTAAATAGCAGAAACTTTTCAAATACCTGCCATGAAGTGTTTCAAAAATTTGTTTTGAGTCTGCCAACATTTCACGAAACTTTGCCAGTCTGCAAAACATTTTTGGGAAATTTACCGATCCTCAAAAATGTTTATGAAAATTTGCCGGTCTTCGAACCCAAAAAGGTTGGGGAACACTGGGTAAGACGACTCTGTAGAGACGTCTGGACGCAAGTACATACACTCTTATTAACTCGTGATTCCCTCTTAGTACCTCAAGGTGCACTGGGGTAAGAAGTTAGGCACTTGATGAGCCAAAGTATAAACGAACCTCTCGTTGTCGCGCTGATTTCTCCGAGGAACTCGCTGTCGCCCTTGATATTTCTGGCTTTAATGTCGAAGTAGTACTTCTGGTTGGGTTTGAGCCCGAAAACCGTGTACTCTGTCCCGTTCACCTCTGCGAACGTGTAGATGGATTGCTCGGGGCTTCGGTATTTGAGTACGAAACTTTGCCGAAAGCCGCCGTCGAAGCCTGGCTCCCATTTGACGGTGATTGATTCGTGCGTCACATCGGCGGCTTCCAAAGTCCGCGCGGCGTCCGGGGCCGACGTTCGGTTTAGATAAATTGATGTCACGCTGTCGCCCACGCTGTTCCGACCGTGGCAAGTGTACGAGCCGAAGTCCTCTTTCCGCACTTTGCCGATTGTCAGTTCCGTGTCCCATGTTATGAGATCATCGGCGAGCTGTCACATCGAATTAGCGTGATTAAAATCAGGGGATGAAAAGATGAACGCTGCTTTGGAAAAAGGTCACGTCCCTCTTTGATACTCGGTTTCATGGGAAGCATTCTCGAAAAAAATTGATATTTTTAAAAAGCAAATCCTCTGGGACTTCAAGCTATCGAACACAGGAAAATCGTGTCGCGAATGACCACCGCTTCTGACACGAAATTTTCAACCTGTGGTTCGCATACTATTCGTGGTACTTGAGGATCTATCAGGTGGTTCTAAAGTTTGTATAGTGAAAGGGAATACAATCTCGCTCGCCAAATTTTCCGTCTTCGGAGTAAAGAAGAAATGTTGAGGCTGAATGGGTGTCATTCTCTTGCAACCCTCAAGAGAGGAAAAAAACAGTTGAATATAGGAGCCTGGAATGCGATATAAAACCTGTTGGAGCATGTTTTTCATCCACGAGACTGATGCTACAGTGTTCGGGTATAAAGAGATTTTTCGCGACACGGTCACATCTTGAGAGCAGTAAATAAAAAATAAAATAAAGGTTGAAAAGCCTTTGTGTGGTGACCGATATCAAATCGTGCAGGATTAAAAGAATTTCTTTGCTAGATGTATTTTCCAAAGATTGAGATTTCCGAAAGAAAATATCGCTGGCGGACTTTTACTTCACAGAAGGCGAATCGTGAGGTTGAAAAATATCTGCCAGAAAAATTGTGACTCATGAGCAAAAAAATTGTATTCGAAGAAGAAAATGTGATAAGAGGAATCTGTGAGAGACCTCAAAGAAGATATGAAAAGTACGGTAGTCAATTCAATCACGCGACGAAAGCTCGAGCCACACCTCCATCAAGAAAATTCAATCACGGCCTTGAAGCGCCATTTTAATTTTAAAAAGTATGTCAATAGAATGTTTATGCAGAACGTATACGGTATTTCTTGGATTCACTGCCATCCATGAGGCCAGAACCTCGGTATAATTTTGCTATTTCAAACGGAAGTTGGTTAGTTAGCATGATTTGTTACCCGGAATTTTCCCGGACGTTAAAAATGAATGCTCCTCCGTATACGGGTGCATATCTGTAGAACCCTATGATCATATGATCCCCACATAACGATAAACCTTTTTTCAGTCCGTTTCTACAGGAAAGCTGTCAACAGCATGAACTTTTTGGAGTAAAGAGTTTTGGAGCGTGTCTTGAATATTAAATGGAGAACGAGGGTTGGAATCCTGACCAGTGCAGGGCTTTCGTGTATGCAAATGGTTCACGACTCAGGCTAGTGCCATGAAAACGGTGCAGTAGTTTTATCCCCTGGGCGCACTTGTTCATGTATTCAAATATTTACGGCCAGCTTACATTTCGCACAGAGTTTGGAGGGTCATAAGTCAACGATGTTTGCTGCTCACGTCATACAAGACTAAAGCAGGGCTTTTGAACCGTATTATGCATTTTACCTTTTCCAAGACATGGCAGTGTTGTGTAACAAGTGCTATCCTGAATCAGGTTGAAAATACTTTCTGAATGATCGACTTCAAGTACCGTTTTCTTTTCTGAAATATAGGCAAAAAATTATCGTCGAGCCAGGTACTTGCTCACCCCAATTTTACACGTTCCATTGATTGAAGAGCCTTCTCTTAGACCAAGAAGATTAATGGCTCGATTCTTCTCCCAGGCGTCTTCATAAGCGAGTACGTATAAGAGTTAGTAAGGACGATCCTAAATGTATGCTAACCTTCCCCCGTTCAGAAATAATGCGTTATTATCATTCCTGACTTATTTTACGACAAAATTACTTCAGTTCATGAAATTTCTGCAATGACCGACGAATAGTTGTCGATGTCTCTAAGATAATTTTGAAACCGTTACATAGATGCGGTTTTGTCGAATATTTCCCGCTTAATGATATCGACGGCTTCCCCGCGTAACATAATTTCCACATCACGTATTTTCATTCCCTGACTGCATTCTACTGTGAATACTATATTCAGTTATGGTGTAAGTTTAAACCTTTGTTGAAACTGCGATGCCCTATTCAAGTAAAGACGTCATTTATCCGAAGAAGCACCATGATAATTTAGTTCTTCCAACTGAAAAAAGTTGCTGTTGAATTTTAGACACATTATCGCTTTCTTTTCTCGATACGTTTTCCGGAAATTTTTTTTCTGTATAAAAAAAGTCTACAAATATCCAAAGGGCATGACAGCACCGCTTCAAATCTCATTTGCAGACATCGAATAAAGGCTCAATCCATATTATTGAGAAAAATTAGCTTCAGCCAGAAATCTCGTAACTACTAATCTTGCTGAAAAGCAGGAAAAAAGGTGTCAGATGCTCACTCATCATTGTACTTTAAATTATAATTTTCGGAATAAATTTCTGATCATGTTCAACACTAATCACTTCATGAGAAACAGTTCGATGATCGATTTGTGCGCGACTCTAAGACGTACGCGGAGCTTCTTTTTGTTTTTATGAAAATGGGAGGCGGAGGGCGTCTTGAAGTGTCGTTTTTTTTTGTGGCCCATCGACAGTTTTATCCTGAACATAACACGAATTCTATGACTCATGAAATGATGCTACACTGACCTTCTTGGTTTCGATGGAGTACATATCGCCAGGATTGAGCTTCTCACCCTCCCGCTGCCATATGAAAGAGATGGACGGAGCACCGGTTGCTCGGCACTTCAAAGTGACGGGGAAGCCGATGTCCGAAGCGGCCTTCTGGAATTGCGGCGTCGTATCCATGACAGGGCCGTCTTGAGCAAACAAAACTCGGGTCAGGGTCGGCGAAAAACAGAGCAAAAAATCCGGGGATATTGCCCCGGGGACGGGCCGAAACATTGCTTACATTCGACGAGTAGCTTCCGTGACTCCTTCACCTCGTCACCGATGCTGTTCTTGGCGAGGCAGTAGAAAACTCCGGTGTCGTCGCGCTTCAGGTTGTATATCGTCAGCGTGCTGACGAATTCCTTTGTTCGCGCCCGGATTTCGGTCGTGAATTTCCCGCGCGCTGCGAGATCGTAATCGTCGCGGGTCCAGGAAATCATGGACTCCTTAACAGGGTTCGCAGTCCCGGCGCATATCAATTTCGCCTCCGGGGCGTTTTCCGGAAACAGCAGCGTCTCTTCCACCTTTTCTATTGTCGGCGGGTCTGCCAATGCGAAGAAAAATGGAACATCGTGTCACGCGCCGGGTCCCATGAATAAGTTGAGGGGCACAACGACGCGGTCGCGGCGTAGGTTAACAAAGCGACAGTCATCTATCCTCACATTGTCTTCAGCCATCTCGCAAACCCCCAGAAAATGCTTTTCTCCTCGCATGGGTTTCCGCGCACGCATTCCCTTTTACAAGGGGAAACATTATGCTAGAATCGACGTTTCTTCTTCGAAAAAGAAGTAAATTTACAGCTACGATCATCAATCGCAATTGAGGAAATGCTCGCATCCCTCCGCGCCCTTTTTATGCACAACGCATTCACTTCTGAACACGAAATATGCACCATTATTCTGCACGGATTCTTAATGTGTAGGTTCTCTGAATTTCATTTCGTGTGATACGGGCACGATGGTTGGTGATATGTGATGTGTTCGAAGCCGAGCTTACACATTTACCGGATAATATAGATAATACATTTTTCTGCTTAGTGCGTCCAAAAATTCGGAGGTGGTATATTCAAAAAATTCGAGAGTATAGACTGCACTGCAGTCCATATCTGTTGTCCATACTCAGAATCTATCTAAAATTTCTGGTATTCGCTATTAAATTGCCCTTCGAGAATATCTCGTTTCAAATTTGGCAAAGAATCTACATAGAGGGAGACTGCATTGGCCGCACACCAAGAAAAAAATTCTTAGGCGGCTTGTATATCGGCAACCCCTCAATTTTTCTGAGAGAATTTTATTATACTGTTCTCAAATTTAATACAGTATTGTAGACTACCGGGTGTGACCGCATGCATGAAACTTTGGTGCGGCTTATTCTCGTATATCTGCAGGGTACTCATGAAAAGCGTGTCGGGCTGAACCTATTCCCGAATATTGTATATTGAGTGCGGCAGATTTCGAGGGGAAGTTCCGGAAGTACTGCCTATAAACTTGCGTAAATAAGGTGGATCCAGTAACTTTTCTAGAGTGCAGAAATCGTCGGTAGCACTATGCTGCGACACGGTGTCATCTTGGATTTACTTTTTTATTTTTTGAAAACATCACTCACAATTGACGTCGATCTTGATTTTCCTGGAAGTCTTTCCATTAGAATTTTCCGCTGTGCAAGTGTATGTGCCAGCGTCGTCACGAGTGATGTTTTTGAACTCCAGCAAAGGACCGTCAACGATTGCAGAGCTAGTTTTCGTGAATTTTCCTTTGCCCTTTTTCCATTTGTACGTGATGGCGCTGGGGTTGCCGCGCGCCGTGACGTTGACAACTTTCGATTCGCCCTCGTTCAGCGTTATAGTCTTCTCTTGATTGTCCGGGAACTCGGGTTTATCTGTAAGGAAAGAGGCAAATTGCGTTGAAAACCTTCCTGTCTTGCATGTTCCGAGTTTCCGCTGAGGTGGAATTATTTTCACCGCTCCTTTTGACTGATGAAGCTCGCGGAACAATGTGAGATACAATATCGAGCAAAGAAAAAAAGTTGCAGGACATTTACAACATTTTGGCGATTCGTGCAAAATTATTCCGTCGTTGAAAAATTCGACAGAGGGACCAGCACCAAAATCTGACAATTTTCTAGAAGTTACTGATTCAAGGAAACGGTGATGATTTCAGTCGATACGAAGCCGCTAGAAAAGAAAGAGTTTCCGATGAGTTTTCTGAGGATTGCTTGGGTGATCGAAAAAATATGCTTGGCTGATTGCAAACATCGAAATGGCGTTCAAGGCAAGGAAGGTGACTTTTTGAGCAGTCTGTCGTTTCCGCAGGCGTCAAAGCAGGATCCGAATTAAATGAAGCCCTTCTAAGGCACGGGAACGAGAGGAAGGGAACGGGTTCCGGCGGAGGAGAATTAATCGGCTGGCGCGAGAGCAAGCCGGCAATTCCCAGTTGTGCGGATTCTGAGTCGTTCCAGACGCGCGCTCTGCCTACCGTCAATGAGCAGTTGAGCGCGTGCTGGGGAGAATCTGACAAAGCCTGGTGATAAATCAATGCACGCCGCGGAAATAACGGGGGCCGAATGCCGGGAAAGTTTGGAGAGCGGAAACGAGAGAAAAGCTCGGGCTACATATGAAATTAATGGTCGTAAGCGAGGCTCTCTCTCCGGATGAGTCCGGACGCACAACCTGACGATGATGTTTCCGTTCTGCCTCGTTCTCTGGACTCGGAAGGTGACTGGGAAGAATCACTGGGCGCTAGATGATGATACCCGGAATCGCGGCCCGTGTGATCCTCGGAGCAAAAGGAAGTAATCGCGGAGGCGCGATACAGAGCAGTCATACTCAATCAACGACGCGCTTTGATGTTCCCGACGATTCTCGCGCGCTTGTTTATCAGGCGAGCTTGACGCCAACTGCATTCATTACCGTCAACCGATTGATCTTCGCGCGGAGAAGAATCACCAAAGCGGATCATTACGCAGGTTATTCTTCGAAACTTAGTCGAATGCACTTTGTATTTAATTAGAGAAACAAAAAAAGAGCGAAACGACCATGCAACCCCCAACCCCTTTTCTCCGGAAGCGGCTGCTCGGAGGAACATGAAGCGAAAGTACTACTGCACTTGCCGATGTTTTTGCATTCGTCAAGTACCAGAGGTCGAAACTTTTGTTCAGAGCCTGCAGATAACCCGGTGCTTGGCAAGATTTGCGACGCGAGCCAATTTTATCGCTCTTCAGTTCGCGTCGCTCCGATTCGGAGAACAGTTTTCCGAAAAATTTCGTCGAAAATAGATCGCGGAGCGGAGACTAGAGCACTGGGCTGACCACTTTCTTTACTTCATTTCCATTATTTTTACACAAGAATCAGTCAAGTACTTCGACGACGATGTCTGCCGCTGATGCGAGAACTTACAGAAGTTCCTCGGAAAGGAAGTGAAATTCTACGGAACAGCGTGAGTGGTGTTTGTTCGAGTACAGAGCGGGTATTCCATAGAGCTTGTTCCGCATAGGATTAAAAAGAAATGATGTGAAGAAATGGGCGTAGAAATCCTGTCGGAACACAGAACTGCGGCCACAAATGCAGCGCGGATGGACTCGCTTACTGCATCGATTTAAGCCGCCTCATGGGGGAGTGAGTCGACCCAGAAAAATGCCTCGCAGTTACAAATGTAGTACCGTCACCCAAAGTTCTGACAGTGCATAAAGGAGATTGAAAAGAGTTCCGAATCGTGTCAATTTTCGCTGCCTCAGACTACTCATGAAGTGATTCTTTGAAAAACAAATGAATAACGGTACGTGTCGCGTTAGCACATAATTACTCCTTCACCTTACATGTTAATATTATAGCATCTAAGGGGTTTTTTTTGCCAAGAAAATCCTTATTTTTCAACAGAAAAGCTTTACGAGCTATGAATTCTCACCATAATGCGGAAACAACAGAGGAGAGGGACGTAATCACTTGAACGAAGGGTTCGCCAAAATTTTTTGGACGATTTTAGCAAAAAGAATCGAGAGGTAGTCAACCTCATTTAGCTATTTCGCGCTCAAAACATCAAATTGAGGAGCGGTATTAATAGGAATTAATATGAAGGGATCAAAAGAGCTCTACACGTACTCCACTCCAACTAAGAATGTCAAAGTGCGCGAATTTTTTCTACTAATTTTCCTTAAGTCATGCGGCTTTGTTACTGTACAGTACTTGAGAACATCCGGCACTTTCCATCACCGAAGGAGATATCCGCAATTTTTCATTGATCATTTATACGCCTACTGTATCTCCTGAAAACATGTTGAGCCAACCAGTTTTTTTTATTAAATTAATAAAAGAGCTCGAAGTGAGTCTTTCCACGTCGAATACTGAAGGCCATGCGAGAGCAACTATAAAAATGCGTTGGATTCAACAAAGTTAAAACACCCTTTGAAATGTTTAGAAGTTATGTTTACCAACATTGATGCATCTTTGAATGAGATCATAGGACTGACGGCTTTCATAAGATTGAAAAAAACCTGTTCTATATTAATCTCAAGGTTCATGGACAATCTCTCGCATAGCAGTGGGGATGAAAATTAGGTGGATGCCGTCCTGACGCAATAATGCTAAGGAGGTTATAAATGCTGAGATTCTGGGTTTGTTTGCAGTACTAACCGCACTCGAGCGGTGAACATTTTTAGCGTACATGCGCAAGTGAGAAAAATGTGATGAAAAAATGGAAACTTCATTGCATAGTTTGATTTTGGTAGTACAGTACTGTAGTACATGATATATACCTTTGCAAGTAAGACTACCTTAGCGATAAATCTCCGGTACGATTTCTTCAGCTTTTTACGCACATGAGTGTTTCATGCCGTTCTCACTAAGGCAGCACCTGGAAAACCAACTTAAGAAACGACAAGGCTTCGCAAGTGAACTCCGCGCCATCGTCATCGTGTGTCAGATTCACCTTCATGGTGAGCTCTGACTCGACTCCGTGACCAGGCAGGCGACTCTGGTGATAAACGGCCGTACCCCCGATGACGGGTACGCTGTTCCGCAGCCATATCAATGTCGCCGGCGGGTTGCTGTTGGTTGAACGACACGTCAGGGTCGCCTCTGTGCCGGCAGACAGATCCGTCGGTTCCACGCGCGGTCGTACTTCGCGTGGCGGAACTGCGTTGCACGGAAACGGATCATTCAAATGATGAACGCATCTGTTCTCGAATGTCATCCTCGATTTAACCGCAGAGTCATATAGTAAACAAATCAACCGCATAAACAATTGAATCTGCGCTGTAAATGAGATTTCCGGAATATGAGGAAACCCACTTCATTTGAATAAATGGGACAATCGGATCGAGGGGACGATTTATCAATAGACTGGTCACGAGTCTGAATTTCTCACTATTGTTCACTAATAACTTGAGACTCCACCCATTTTAAAACAGCGCATCTTTAAGTTGCAACCCCTTGAACTAAAAAAAAAGTCCTAATGCAAATACGAGTCTTTTAATTGCGTCTCGATATGCGTAAATCTTCAGTTTACAATGAGGATCAACTAATAATATTCTTGATTGCATAAGAGTATAATATATATACTGGATAGTATATTTATAAGAGTACTGTATCCCTTCAAACTCCATGCATTGCGCGAATGGAACATTTTAGATGCAGGTTCGTAAACGGCAAGCTTCTTTCCCGTGAAATTTAACGTTCTATCGATATGACGACAAATTCATCGCCGAAGTATCAACAAAAAGGAAGAAAAGGCGGTGACAGAAGCTTCATAATTTTCGTCTTCGTCTTATCCTCTTCATGCATTCATGCACATCATGCTTTAAACCTGTCCTCAACGGAAAACAATATTCAACAAGTTGATGAGATTCAGTACTTATAATTTAAATTAATTGAAATGTATGATCATCTCATAAACGAGAAGATTTCCTGGGAATCTAAAATTCCTGCAATTCTACGACGTGGTCGGATTTGAAAATTCTCAACCCGGTAAAACGCCTCGCACGTAAGCCCAACAGAAATTAAAATAAATAAGGCACTCTCCAGAGAGAATATCATTAATTACATTCAAGTTCGCGGATGCATAGAATAAAATTAAGCGGAATACAAAACTGTAGAGAATACGATATCACTCAAGAATGGTTATTTGTTTCAAGTGGTTAGATTTAGATTGACAGGAAAGCCACTTGGTAAATTACTGCAAGCGCAGGATGGAAAAGGTATTGCTTTACGTAATGCACCCAAGCACAAATCTTCGAAGTTAGTCGCGGTACAAGTACAACGAACCAATTGATCGCGTATCCGAATTCACGATCACTGGACCGATATGAACGAGTACAAAGTATGACTATCCAGATTATTCAAACGCTGATCTAGCGCCGGAAGTCAGGCGGCGACGGCTTTTTGTAGGCGAACTTTAAACCCATTAAATTTCGGGAAATTAGATGGAGGGTTCATGCGCCTCTAAGCACGGGTTAGTTGGATCAGACGGAGTTGTGGGGAGCCGATAAAGAAAAAGAATCGACTATTTGGAACAACTAGAGCCGCGGAAACTCGATTACGTTGGGACACGATACTCACACTTCACTTGAAGTGTCCGGGAGACCCACGTCGGACTGGGCAGCGCGTCTTGTGTCACTTGGCATTTGTACACGGCCCCATTGTCCTTCTCCTTAAGGTCTATCTTCAGATTCGAGGTTACGTATTCGCTGGATTTCTCTATTTTCACTCGATCGCCGGTTATCTGTGTGAGTAAATTCGCCACTAGTCAGGACCCGATATATCCAATCCTCTGCGCCACGAAGGACTGCAAATTAACTAGGAAATACGAGCGTTTCTCTCGCTGTTCGGAATCGAAATTTAGTTCTGCCTCTGATCAACTCTGACTGTAGCTAAGTAGCATTTATTGACTTCAAAATCTTACGGTTCTCCCTCGGGAGTTTCAGGTGTTTTCCCGACTGACTCCAATCTTTACTTTTATTCACTTCATTATTCACAACGGCTGGAAAAAGATTAGAAATGTTTTCATCTTGCTGGTTACTCCTCCGCTTATTGCATGTACTCGTGCAAGGATTACTCTACCAACAATATCCAGATGCCAAAGTTTAAAGCCCTTGTACAAATAATATCACTGGAAACTAGCTGTTCGTCTTGCAATACAAGGAACGCAAGGGCCATGAAATTGTTTTTGTGCAGACTGCATACGAGGTAGGCGGGTTGCTTCAAAAAGTTCATCAGTGCCTTAGAACGAAGATCACTTCGAACCAAGTTTCTGAGTCAGAATCCTCCAGATCACAAGGGATCAATTAGAAAAGTTGAAGCAGGCCTCTGCTCACTTGCTAAGGGTTTGCTTCAACTGCAGCCCCGACTTGAACAACTTCTCACTCACGGATTAACGTAACTTTATTCAGTCTCAATACATTGCAAATTCTCAATATCAGAAAATTTGTTATCGGAACATGACCATCGAGTTTTAGCTCGTCACCTTTATATTTTGTAAATATTTAAAATATACATAGTAGGCCCTCTTCCATTTGCATATTTAGAACGTACGAGCCAATTCTGAGAGGTAAGCATTTCCCCCGATCAGTGATGGTGTAACCTTAGAAATCTTAGATCTTTCTCCATTTTCACAGAATCGAGCAAAAATTGCAACAGTGGTTAGAAAACTATCAAGTGATTCCGGATAAAATGCTAAAATCCCCGAACGAGACGCAAAAAGGAAGCACTACGACTGGGAATGACACAACTTCTGAACCAATCCCAGTCGGAATACCTCCTTGGAAAATCTATCTTAATCCATGGCTTCTGTTTGGAATGAGGATGGCGGTTAGCCAGCGGGAAATTATGATTATTACGACTACCGAAATAAATTCGTTCACGAACATGTTCATTACCGAAGATCACGAAAAAGTGGACGATATCAATTTTCGAAGATATCAGAGAATGAGTCTCAAAAGACAAAAATCCGGGGGAAATTCCGCGATTAAAGTTTAGATCGCATTCGCTGTATGAGATGAAGTCCAGGATGAAGGGGGTTTCGGGAGTGGACTCGGAACGCGGCGGAAATGAGCATTTCAGTGGCATGCATAGAAAGTGTCGCATCACGTAGGTCGTAATCAACAATCGTGTATTGCGGGATGTCAAGCGATTTTACCTCGGCGTCGTTGAAGTACCACTTGAGCACCGGACTGGGGTATCCGCCCATGACGACGCAATTGAGCACCAGTTCCGTACCCGCTGTCAAATAAGTATCCTCCTCGTAGCCTGAGATTTCCGGCGGTCCCGTCGGTGGGCCTGCAATCAAGGGGAAATCAGTGTTTGTTACGGGAATTCGAACATTCCCCACGACAGAAAGATACCTTGAATGCCCCCTGGCTTCAATTACGTGGGGTCGTAACCTCATTTTTTCACTTCGGTGCGCTGTTTTATTTTCGAAGCCATAATACGCGCACACCAGAATTCCCGTCCAAATTCGTCTCAACTGTGGGTCTTAAGCGTCTCGTAAATCGAAACGAAGAATTTATTCAATTACCTTTGACTTTGATAACGCCCTCGTGTTGTGACTTCGGTGCTTCCTTTTTCAGAACTTGACGCGAAACATTTATTTTTGGAAATTTAACTTAAGGCTAGGATTCTTGTTCACCGAGCGAGTAAAAAAAACCTTTCTAAAATGTCTATTGGCTTCAATCACTGTATGCTGAGTCATAACCCCTTCGCTTCTGCAATTCCATTTATAAATGCCGAATTTCTACAAGCAATTTATTCCAATTCAGCTTGAACTCTAATTCCAGAGTGACGTGATTTATATAAAAAAAAAACAATGCGAAACGCCCTTGGCTGGAATAAAGCTATTGGTCGAAACTTTTTTTTTATTTAACTTCAATACTCCATTTCTTGACACGCAACGTAAAATTAATTTTTCAACAATTCAAAGGGAAACTGAATATTCTTTGACGCGTAAATGAGATGAATTTATTGAGTACCAATCGGCTTTGATTATGATGGGTCATGACCTTATTTTTACACTCTTGTAGTGTACATCTACTATTTAAAACGTGACGCATGCATTAAAATCCCACGAATTCAGCTGAACCCGTGATTATCTACGCCACTGGAATCGGAGCAAATTTTTCTTCCGAACAGACGTATGAATCTACTTAACAACAAATCTCAGTCAACTAAAATATTCGACGAATGCGAGCTATTTCTGAAAGGATTTTCCTCAAGTAACCGTTGAAATCGGAACATGTCCTCATTCATCTCCATGTAGACATTTCGAATAGGGAGACAATTTGTTTTCATGAAGTGGAAAAAGGCGGCGTGCTCAAGAGCATGGATTTCACGTCTAGTGTGGATTTCACGGGAAGAGCCAGTTCTCTCAATAAAATTCAGCTTCACGTCAGAATGCCTTCGAAGCTTGAAGAACCTCCGTTTCTTCGTATACGAAAGATCTTAGAATGTTAGAAACGTAGTCATACAAAGCGCATTTTATATGTAGTGCACGAAATAAAAATATTTCAAGAACAAACCGCTACAGTCAATACTTGCGAAACTACCCAATACAGTATTTCTTTTCGTATGGACATACCACGCATACCGTCAACGATTAATTATCATCAATTTTCAATTTTCCTCAAACTGACATTCAAGTGAACGATGAGCGTACAGTGAAGAAGCCGGCGCAAAATTCAGGATGATATTACAAGAATTGAGTCTATCACTCTATCTTGTACCTTAAAAAGCTTTTTAATTTAAAAACGTTTATCACAGCAGTATACGATTAAATATCAACTCACGAATAACGAGGATGTTGATCATGGTTACCGCACTGAAGGCGATCATTTCGTTCGTTCCGTAACAAGCGACTGGCAGGTTACGGTCCCGGGGTCCCACCGTGATCGACACTGTCGATGACGAATTCACACCTCCGCTAGCGTCAGGAGTTTTCACAAACGAGGTGCCGTCGACTTGCTGACCATCAACGACCCATTTGAGTTTCGTCGACGGGTTTGAAGGGGATGAGTCACATGATAACTGGACGGTTTCATTGATACGTGCTTCTGACTTTCCGCTGATTTGCAGCTTCTCGGGTTCGTCTATACAAACGAAACGGAAAAACCAAAACGTGAAATAATTGACCTAATTTTAAACGCGAATCATCCGCGAAGGAAATTTTCATTTTTCTAAAAAAAATCATCTCAGACATTTTGTACCGTTCAAAAACTGCAGAATCGCTGAAAAAATAATGTGAAACGTATTTTAGTCAGTGCTTAAGATGCTTCGATGAGGAGAATGAGTGCTCACAAAATTTCAGAGTCATTAATTATAAAATTTCAGAGTCTTTTCCGACTATGTAAGCAAACCTCCAGAAAGAAAAAAAATATCGATAGACCGAGAAGTAAGCCATTTTGTTCGAAACCGTAGTAAACTTGAAGAAACATACAGTTTTTTAAAATATTTTTTACGAATATCTTTGCCCGAAAAGCCTGCAATCGCCTTCCATGCTTGCATTTCTGTATTCATCGTTATGAATCAAGATGCTGTAGTTGTGTTGCCATGATGCGGTGACACTTTTTCCCACGAACTGTTACAAAACCAGTTGTTGAAAGAATTACATAATGTGCATCACTAAAACTCAAGCCAAATCCTGATTAGCTTTGAACTTCTTGATTAGCTTTGGGCCAAGGTCAACGCCATAGCTGTGAGTGTAATTGTTCTCAGAGCGAACCAACTCCCCATTTCAGAAACTTCAGGGTTCGTTTCACACCGGAGTGTTATTCCCTTCACATGACGAGTTTGCTCTGAGCTTGATTGAAATGCATTGCATCCGCCGAGAAAGGAAAAGCGTACTAGCTGGTACTTACAGTAAACGACGAGTTTGACGGAGTCCGAAAGCGACGTTTTGCTAATCTTTCGACTCGAAGCACGGCACTGGAACTCTTTCTTGTCATCATCCTTCGTCGCATTGAACTTGAACCAGTTCACTGAGTGCGTCCGCGTGCTGTCAAAATCGAGTTTCTCGCGTCTGAATCCCGGCCCACTCAAGCACGGGCTTCATAGCCCTGCATTTATAATCACAGCCCCAAAAGGCATCCACTTACGAGACTTGTCGAAGATGATAGCTGCTGTCGACTTTCTGGCCTTCTTTAAACCAAATGAGTTCTGCCGGCGGATTTCCCCCAACGGATCGACACTCGAGAGTCACCAGCTCGCCGGCTCTGACCCATGGTCGGTCGTCCATACCCAAAATATGAGGCCTTCCGGGCGGATCTAAAAAAAGAAAAAAGGTTGAAACCCACAGGAGCTTTAGACTTTGTAACTATGGCAGCGAAACCATTCCGCATTAAGACTCGGATTATCCCGTACAAAGAACGGGCGACCCGACCAAAATGCTCTTCGGCAATTTTCTTCGAAAGGTTAGAAAATTAAAAACCAGACCAAATTTTTCCCTGAGATTCTCCTCGAATTCCAATGCGCCATTGTCCAAGAAATTCATAACTCTGACGAAAATAAGGAATCCTTTAAAAGAACTCTTCAAAGAACAGTGGAATCATTATCAATAATTGAAGCAAGCGGCTGTCGATGAAAATTTCAATTTTGTTCGATTGAGGCTCTGTCTTGGGCAACTTTTCGATCACTGCAATTTAGGTCAATCTCACCATTTAGTATCATTACCTTAAATATTTCTAAGGTAAAAACACTTCATCCCCCCTCCCCCGGGAATATGCTTTTCCGATCTGAGTTACATAACTACAATTATTATTCGATGATAGGAAATAGTGGGTATCATTAGGAATGGCTGCTGGATTGTAAAAAAAAATACAAGCGTAGTAAAAGAAACTCATTTCATCCGTGTTAGAATACACTTCAATGGACATGCTTCTTTGAATTATATTCTGCATAGAGAACTAGGAAATTTTGCTCCACTTTTTGGATTAAAAACTTGAAAACTGAAAATTTAGAAGCTGGCTTTAAGAAAAAACGTTTTCTTTTTCGACTTCTATGCGTTCACAAACAAAGCGAGATTGAATTTAAAGTTCGATTTAAATAGCGAAACGTAAAAATATGCCAATTGAAAAGGGGATGTTCTGTCATTCTGCGAACCATATCATCATTCAAGCAAATTTCAGGATATTAAGGAATAAACCTGTTGTTTTCTTAATACAGTAGTTCAGATTGGATAAGGACACTAACTGACTTAGCAGTACCGCAGATCAAATTCATCAGGAAAACAAGATAATCTTTGAGTTACGCGAGAAAAAAAAACTTTTCCGCATAGTAGCAAGACCACCGCTAGCGTTTCATTCCTTCACTTTACCGTCCAAGATCTAAAGTTGCCTTAAGGTTAATAATCTAAAACGAGCTCGTGACGATATTTTTGAAAAAGCATCCCATAGGACTAAACTTTTTTTTATGAATCCGTCCGTCCATGTTTTCTTCGAAGATCTTTCTTTCTATCTCTATTCTCCCTCTCCCGATCCTCCACTTTTTTCCCATGAGGGTATTTACGGAAAATGACCCTCATCCAACTTCAATGTTTGCGGGAAGACTTGGGGAATCTTTGCTTTCCTTGGTCCATCGTGACATCGTTGCTCTTTGCTGCTGGCCGGAAACCGGTGGAGCCTCTCTTGAGGAAACAATGTCTTCGTGTGGTTTTTTTTTATCCAGAGCATGTTACACTCTTGGGATTTTGGGCTCTGCCGGTTTTTCCTCATACTACAAAACTACCAGAATCCAGAATCCCACATTGAACGTAAAACTTGATGTTGGAGTGCGAGTTTGGACGGGAGCAGCGCTTTGCGTCCCAGGCCCACTTGACCTGCCTTTCACAACACCTGACTTCCCTACCGAATCCGGCAACTTTTTCCGTGGTGACGCATTAGAATATTTTAGAGATATATTAGAGGCATAGAGATATAGTAGACGTAGTTACTTCAGGTTCTGACTTCATACTCTCAACAGGAAATTGCGCGGACGAAGCAGTTGAGGGATTATCTCGAGAATATTTCAAAGCCAGTTATAACCTCAAATTTCAGAGCTCATGAGCAGATGCTTCATTCCGAAATATCAAAAAATGAAGGATATTGAAAAGTGGAAAACATTAAAAAACGGAATGGAAAAGATTATTCAATGCTGACAGCGTAAAATCTTTACGTGAACCTCAAGAGCAGCAAAATTTCCTGGACGTTCTTTAGAGTCTGGGACGCGCTTTTCTTTCCTTCAGTTCGTTTCTACTGCTATAAATTATTTTAAATTTCTGATCTTCTGGTAAGTTTACAACACTCCTCGAATTGCTCCAATTATCCCGTGAATTTCCAAGTGAATTCGATTCAATCTCCGTGGGCGGAACAGCTGTAAAGATTCACGTCATTGATTAAAATTTGAAATTCGGAATGGTTGACAACATCCGCATTATCGAGGTTCAATTATTCTGACTTCAATATGTTATCACATTCTTGTCCCTTACAGTAGTATCTACTGACCAAATAAGAACCCAGCGGAAGAATTCCCCGAGAAAACCAGTGGGAGATATCTTTGCATGTGTCTCCGGAGTTGAACCCCGTTTGTTCGTTTTGGTCGGAAAAAGGAGACGAAAGAAATAATTTCCGGAGTGGCGCAGCTACCAATTATTTTAAAGGAAGGGGTGAAGTGGGGACACGCGTCTAGGCTGGGAGCCGAAGTTGCAGGCCGGAAAACTGTCAGAATAAGGGATTTCAGTCGCAGGTGGGTAAAGAAGGAAGTTCGCTACAAGTTTTTCCGATCCCGGGCTGAGCCACCGGGCAAGAAGACGGGCTGAGCAAAAAGAATAAAATTGAATGAAAATGAGAGAGAAAAAAAAGAATGCGAGGCCCGGGAGTCGAGGAGCAGCATGCAATTTACATAACGTTTCATGATGTCGAGCGACCTGTTGAGGCTATGGCCGAAGGGGGCCGTCATTGTCAGTGGAAGCCCCGCGGTCAGACGCATGCTCGACGCGTGGCCGACGCGTACTTCGCGGACGGGATAAGAAAATCACGGCGAAGGCTCGGATTTCTCTTTTCACGCGCTAATTTCGAATCCTCGCATGAACTTTGCGGCCGATGGAGAGCGAACTTCTCAGCGAATTCAAGATAGGCATTTTTTCTACCTGTGGATCGCGAGATGTTTCCAGAATGATAGGTAGGCTTTAGCACGCAGTAGTTTATAAGTTTAAAAAATTGAAATAACGGTAGGGATGAGTGAATGAGACATTACTGAAGGCGGAAGACTTAGATAAGACGGGGAGGGAATATTATACAGCGTATACGAAGAACCAAAAAACCCGCTCAATGTAACCGTGAACTTTATGTAGCACAGTATGTGGAAATTGAGAAAAAGAGAAGTATCCGTCTTTAATCCGATTAAAAGTCAATGTTAATACTGTACAGTACTTGGTGCCCAGAAGGTGTTACGAAAATGCTTTGAATTCTTGGGACTGGGGTTTATTTTGAATGCACTCGAACTTTTGGCGAGGTTTCGAATCAGACATGAATAAAATTAGACAATTCTCTGCTGTTTATGAACTGGCCAACAAAAAATGTATTGTATTTGTCCTATGCTGTACTGGAATTTCTTGGCTGAACATTAAACCTAAAAAACCAGAGAAAATTTTTCAGGCCAAGGTCAGTTTCAAGAGTATGCAGCGGAAAGAATCACGCTTCCTTTTCCAGAGAAGAATGTTTGGAAAGATCACTGACGATCAAATTTCAGCAGTAATTTCCGGTTTATACAACAGTGCGGCTGCTTTTTCATTTACGAGTTTCCCTGCGAACTGCAAAGAATTTCCCTCCCGGTTTATATAGCGATAATTATTTTTACGTGCTTGCCTCCATGAAAGGAGAGCAATGTTTTAATTACCTGTTTCATGCGCTCATAAGCTACATGCGACTACGGACCATACGTACATCCATATTTTAGGTAACGATTTGAGAGGAAAACTTGTACAGGTTGCATTAATGAAAGTTTTGAAGTAAAGCTGCAGACCATACGAGGCCAAAACTTGCGAATTTCCTCAAAAAATGATCCAGAAGTGAAATTATCTTTCGAGGCCAAGGAACAATAAAACGAAGAGCAACTCGAAATACAGTAATTTCAAGGGCGGAAAGTTTTAAGTTTTTAGCGGAGAATAACATACCGTACTCGTTTCGAGGTCAAGGACTGATGAGATGAAAAGATTTTCCGAGGACTTCCAAGAGATGAAAGAGTCGCTATATCTGTTTCCCTGTGCACAGTGTTGTAATCCTAATTTTTGAAGATGTGATAATCTTGAGAAGAAGCAATTCATTCACGCAGTATACAGTATATAAACAAAAATCGCGACTTGAAATCGCGTATACACGGGGCTCGATTCGATAACATAAAGTTGTTTTTTGCTCAACTGTTTTCATTCCAAGTTTTTTTTCGAGGGAATCATGCGAAAACTAGAATGCCTGGGTTTTCAATTAAGATATGTCTGCTTGTGATTTAGAGATAATCTCCAGCTTTCCAGACTAGGACTTGCCGAGAGACTCGTCTTGCCGCGGGTGCGAGGCAAGACGGATGAGAATCCTAGTAACTTCGTGTTGGTCTTCACACGCCTGCCGCGAAGCGTCGCGTGGCTTTGTTTCGTTATCGGCACGCTCCATTCACGCGCGACATTCGATGCGCTGATTAATTTCTCCTCTCCCGAACCCACTAATCAAGAGTGAAGAGACAGGTGAGCCTCGACGAGCCTGCGTGCAAGCATATTTTTCGAGTCCAGTGTTCGATGGGTCCAACTAAATGCATCGGAAGACTTCCCGGAGCCAGAACGAGACAATGCATTGGGTGGACCAGAATAAATGGGACCCTTTTTCAAGGAGAAATACATCCCGGACAGTTCGAAGTAAAGCGCATTTCATTTCTCCTTTTTCTTATTTAGGTATCTGAAAAAATGAGGCGGGGGACAGATTTGCCTCGTTTTTTCTTTAACGTTTAAAAATGTTGATGGCGATCCTATAAGGATTATCCCATTTAGATCAGTCTCTAAAAAACTTGAGAGGTCAGCTAAAAGGTTTGTCAATTTTGAGAGAATTTTTGATGCATGCCTCATAATTGTCTGAGAATTTTCCACAAAAATATTTTGCAGTCAGATTTGGAGAATGAATTATACTGTAGTATCATATCAACCTTGACGGAGACGACAGATAGACCTGGTTTTCATTAGAAATATGCTAAATGTACTGTTTTCAAGTCACGAACAGAGAACGCTTGTTAACTATAGAACACAACCTCCATGCACTATCAAAGCAGGTAAAAATCGCATAAGTGTTGGAACCCATTTGATTTGCAGCGTTCTGGAAACACGGGGAGACTTTAAGAGGAGTGCTTTATCTATGTTGTCATGGTGCACAGTATTTTCATAGTCACTTCTTCCAAGTGCATTATTTTGTTTAAAGCAAAACAATTCAGGCAGAAAAGTATTTTTAACCTTGTAAGAAAAGTGGGATTTTGTTATCAACAGAATTGTTTTTTTCTCTTCGTCATCCTTAGAATACTTTTTGAAAATAGGAGACTTTGAAAGGAGTGCACTATTTTGTCATGGTACACAGCATTCCCATAGGAACATTTTCCAGATGCTTCCAAATGCATCGAATTGTTTAAAGCAAACCAATTTAAGCAGAAAATCATTTTTATACTCGTACGAAAAGAGGCATTCTGTTATCAACACAATTATTTTTCTCTTCGTTATCCTCGATTACTTTTTGAAAATGTTTCTCGTTATATTTTTTGAAAGATATTCGCGTTTCTCCCTTTGCAAAAATCTTTGTTGGCCACGTTCGACAAACTAATTATCACATAAACACCATTCACCCTTTTGCTTAGAAATCGCGTGGAATCTTTCTCCCGGGAATTCTCAATTTAATTTCTCGTAAAGATCTCGCCAATGAAAAAAGATTAATTTGGACATAATTTTCTTTGACCCCGTTATTCTATCTGATGTCTCAAACCATTCGAGATTTTATATGGCTCACCCTGTATGAGAGACCAGTGGGGTAGAAGCAGTTTTTAATTCCGTGTTCCATCGTGGGTTAGATACACGTGCGTCAGTGTCCCAAGAGACGCAATTTTTGGACTAATACGTTGTGCGGGAGGAAGAATGAATCTCTTTTCCGATCCGATGCTCGAACAGCCCAACATAAACTCATCCTTTTCTCTTTACGGTTCCATGTCTTCTTTTGGTTCATGCGGGATACGTTTGAGTGAAAAATTGGCATACCCATCTAATATTTCTAATGAGCTGCGGATGTTCTCAGATTTTTATTTCACTAAAGATTTCAACGAAGTCGTTATTGTAGGAAGGTTAGCTGCGTCAGCGTAACGTAGTCTTCAATTTTGAGGATGAAATAAGGCGTTGATTTGTAGCTAAAACGATGTTCAGAGGGTCGTTAAAAAGTGATTTCAGAGATAAGTTTTGCGTGTCAGTACTGCCGTGAAAGTTAGGTGGAAGCCCTGCATCGGCGGGCGCATCATGAGCCAGTATGGAATTCCTCGGGAAACGGATAAAGCAAGTATTCCTGGATTATCCGAAATGAAGTCAGCGGTCCGGCAAAGAATTGTTTTCAAAAAAATCCCGATCAGCCTCCTGTAGAGGCTCGTGATTAATTCTTCCGATTGCTAGAGCTGTACTTCCGCAGCGCTTCCGCGTAATATCGGCGAGATTCCGCGCTCGGGCGCTTCCATAATTGATCGAAGTTGTCTTATGGATCGACAAGCTCGAAAAACTCATTCTTTCACGTATCCATAAGATTGTCCTCGACGAACGTCTGATTTCTCGATTCCGTATCGGTTCCCAACGAATTACCATTCATGCTTGGCGATGGAAACAGGATGCATCATTATTCCAGGATGCATCTTCGATTTAAGGGAAGCATCACGTACTATATACGACGAAGATACATGGTACAGTATCTGCATCCATACGAATCTTTTCATGGCGTAGGACCCAGGTGAATCACAATGTTTTCAGACAAGCGGATTACTGCCCTATAATGCATACTCCATAGCTTTTCAAACTTGTTGTGTCCATCAGGGGCCGTATTTTACAGTCGACGCTACGTCGGAGGAGCTACATTTTTCAGAAGACCAAGAGGCGTCTTGGAGAAGATCAGTTTTGCTTTCAAACTTTAATTTTCCAGTCATTTGGCGTTTATCTTCATTCAGTTACATGTAAGACATCGGCATTTTTTTCGGGTCCTTTTTTTCAGAGTCTATCCAACTTCTGAGCCTTTAATCTTTTCAGAGCCCTAGGGAAATGCGTTTGGATCCCTGTGTGCTCCGCGGAGCACAGGTTAAAATCCTTTGAAAATAGCCGTGCATGCATTCAAACTTATTGAAAAGATAACGTTAACAATTCTACATGAGGTTAGATGTTCTGGTATCTAAAAAAAAATTCCTTCACAGAATTTTCTTCATTTTTTGCCACCCGAACTACCGGAGATAAACTGATGAATAGTTAGAATCTTTTCTCATCATTACGCCTTCGAATTTTTCCTTCATTTTCTCTTCACGCTTCTACATCATTGAAGATCCCAGAAAACAGGCAAAAATCCGGCTCAACTTAAGCATGGACCAACTGGAAGGGAAAAAGCTATCCGAAATTGCTGTCTTGCTCCTCACCTTTATACCTCGCACTAATTAAAAACGGCGTGACACTCCGCGATTGCCAGCTAATTAATCCAATCATTAATTGATAGTTGGCTGTCATTTCTTGGTTTGAATAAGGCTATGCGATGGGAGAATGTTGGGGTTAATTCAGGCAAATGTATTCATCGATCAGACGAGTACCCCGAAGAGCCGTTTCGAGGCTTGCCTCCGTGGCTAAAGGAGCAGCATAATTTAACAATATTTCGTTCGCCGCAAATTCTTGGCTCGGGAATCTTTACAGGTATTTCAGCCATCATTTGATTTTACGACCCAGTCGATTCTATCGATTTTCCCGGATAAGCTCACGTAAATCCTCATTTCAGCTCGACTTTTGTTTTATCGTATTTCATATTCTGTTAACAATTTTGCTGCATACGGCATAACGAAATTGATGACCGTACCTTCAGTGTTGGCTTGAGCATTGAGATTTCAATTGTAGCTTCTGAGATTAATGATATTTTTTGAAGAGGCGAACGATCGAACTGTAAAGATCGCTCCACAACTAATCGACGGTCATAATTTTCGAAAAGTTGGAAAATATCCTTCAACAAACACATGTGAATTTCCTTGAAGAAGTGCTGACTAGAAATGTTGCTAAACTTGGATTAACGGCGTCTGTAGAAGGACAACTCAGTGCCTGAACGAGAGAGTTATTAGCCTTTTTTGCAAAATCTGAAGTTTATTGGCATCCCCTTTTGTTCTCCGTGATGGCAGTTGATCCAGCTGATCAAATGATGATTTACAATTATTTTTGAAACAGAGGACACTTGCCTTAACCACGAACAAATATATAGCGACGTTTCTTATAGAGGCTAATGTTAAATTGAACTTGACGCATAGCCTATAACTTATTCGTGATTCAGGGGTATCCGTGTTAAGTCGTACTTTCCAAATAGACTGCGCGGACTACAGTAAAATAGTTAGAATCTGCGTTAATGTTTCAAAAAGGAAGGCTGGCTCAACTCATGAAGGAGATTCACTCGGACTTTGAAGCGTGATGTTCCCGGATATGAAAGCCATAACACGACCTTGTGACAGGCAACAATCATACGGATGCTTTGATATTCCAGCGGCTTCTGGGTTCCTGCTCAAGCCTTCCTTTTTCTTAAAAAGTCACTCTGGGAGTTTTGGCAAGTCGCGGGGCTTTTTACGACTGGAACTAATTGAGTAGTTTCTCTTTCTTGTTTTACGGATCAGTTCGCCTCGGTTTTCTCAGCCGTGGCCCGCATTTCCCTCACGTGGTCGTACATACGGTGTACCTTGAGAAACTCGATAATTTTTATATAGGTCACAGAGTTTCTCTACCTTTTTCGACCGGAGCCGTCAATTCTTTCGACTGAGTCCCCGGAGCAACAGAAATCCCCAGAAATCCCACGATGGAGCCTCTTGGGCAAGCCCGAAATTTTGCGGTTGATTTTTTGGCTCAAAAGAATAAAATCGTTTGTACTTTCCTACATGTCCTTCAAATCTTGAATTACGGAATAAACATTTTTTCAGATCACAATAATTTCTTGCGATATACGAGTACATTACTGAATTCAGCGTTATTTCCAGCTGTGCCCGATATGGCATCCGCGGGGCCCTTGAGAAATGAATGAATGAAGAGGCGTTTGAGCTCCGCGGAGCACTGTTGAAAATGTCGGCTGTATGAGATTCCGAAGACATTCGGCATCCGAGAAGATTGAGTTAAGGAATAAGCTTTGTGGAAGATACAATACTTGCGGGCATTGATTCGGGATTCCCGCGTTTTTTCGGTGGCGGATCATCAAACCGGGCAGTGGCCCGTGCGTCTCACAGAGAATTGTTTTGAAATTTAGTACGTTCAGTTGCCCAAATCTTCTGCTTGAAATAAGTACTAAGGTTTGGAACGCTATAGAGTACTCACAGAAAACGTCGAGCGTAATCCCGGCGCTCATAGTGCGTGAGCCCAGGGCCTCGTGCACTGCTTGGCAAGAGTAATTGGCTTCGTTGTCGTCGGATGTCGGCTTCAAAGTGATTGAACTTTCCGTGGTTTTCAAAGTCTCTCCAGACCCGGCACTCTCGGTCACCGTTTCCGATTCTGCGGATTTTCAATAGATAAAATTAATCAACCATTGCAATTTTAGGTGCTCCCTATTTTCTTTGTATTTTCTTGTGAGTGTTCTGCAATACGAAAGAAGGCCATTTCCCGATTTTTCGATAATCAAGACGAGCGAACGAATATTTTTTTCCTTTGTCGAGGATAAAAAAAATGACTAACCGGGGGCAATCATTGCTGTAGTTTCGAAGTTGATACTCACGCTAACGTATGTTTTCTGCATACTACTACAGTATTAAGAAAGTGTTTCTATTTCGTGTTCTTGCTATTGTTCTGTTGCTTTCGTTCGCTGATTTAATAAAAGCCGAGTATCTCGATAATTTGAAAGGATGGCAAGAGACAAAGTGATACCGTATACGGAGATTGGGAGAAAGAAGATTGAGTTCATGTTGCGAAACCAACTACCGAGTGTTCTGAGAAGTATCCAAATTGAGTTGTGCTTTATCGATCATGGAATTGCGTTTCCAATCATTCCTTCAGCTTTTCAATCTCGGAAATTGCAAATATTTAAGCATTGTAATGACCCGTGAGATCCTCCCATCGAAGAAAACGACTTGGAAGGATCTTAGTCATTCACGGGCAAAATCGGGGAGATAACTTTGAAAATCCCATTCGATTTTACCGTAAAATTATGGACGAATTTCTGATCAAATTCAAAGCCATCACTTCAAGCATATCAGTGTTGATTCATTCCTTCCATTTGGTGCCTGGTTTTTTAAGAGCGATTAAAACTTTGGATGAATCTCACGCGCTTGATTCATTGGAAAATGTGTCGTGTTAATCTTTGAATTCAAGTTTAGCTCTTACAAGTGGACGGAAATTTCTCGAACATACGAAACATTCTTTGGACGTGTTGAAGGAGAGCGAAGTCGTCAAGTTGTAGAATTTTCCCCGATGGTACGCAGGAGAACCTCTTAAACCCACACGCTGTGTTTGTTGAACTCCTCCCCGTTCCAGGCGTATAATAAACGCGCATCTCTCTACCTTACAAGCTCACGACTACTTGTGATCTTACGAGTGGCTGGGTAGAATTTTCGTCATTCGGAGAAACTAGGGTTTCTCGTCCGCGGATTCAGCATACAGTATTTACATCATAAACTCGGATGTTTCTTTCGTGCGATGCACGTACAGTATGTAACACACATTCGTAAATCTAGACTACCTGTTAACATCAAGCTTATGCTTCAAAAGATTTTCTTACAAACAGCGATATTCGAGTTGTCATTACATCAGTGCTCTTGAACGAAACCCTAATTCACGAGAATATTTTTCTACCGCTACGTTTTAAGAAAGCGTAGATGTGAAGGTGATAATTTGTGACCAAGAATCTGTAGCTCATCTGCGAAATCTGAATTTTCCAGGAAGACTGGTAAAGAATGGTGAAATGTCGTCCCAACGATTCTCGCTAAAACGAATATTTTTTTGATGAAGTCGTCCTTGAGATCCCTAAAGTGTAGTCACACCATTGTTTACGAAAGCTTTTTTCCGGGTCTCAAATGATCGTCGTACCGAGATTTTGCTGTACTGCACTTCGGTCTACTGTGTGTTTGTGAATCTGCAGAACCGCCTTCAAGTCCACACTGATCCGAAAGATTGAGGATTTTTTAAAGGATTGGCTTGCGGAAAATTTATGAAGCCCGCCGAAGTGTCTGATGAATGCTCGATTTAGAAATGTTTCATACCTTGTTTGATAATACTGTGGGTCAAATCGGACAGATTTGAACACACACTTTTTCGTGACCCCCATTTTATCGGTCATCTCTATTCGTCTGAATCTTGGTAGCCCATGGGCCATTTGAATTCTTCGTTCAAAGCATATTCATCTCTACTGGTTGTCGCACATTTACCTGTCACAACAAGTTAGAAGTAAAGCGCGCTTCGAAAATGAGACGGCAGCGAGGTCTCGCGGGGGTCATATGTTCAGAAAATGTCTCTTCTATTTCCCAGCCTCGGCCGCGCAATCAGCCATGTAATGCATAAGAAATCATGACTGCTTGCATATGCTTGAGGGAAAACGTCGAATTCTTTAACGTAGTTCCTTCGGATGAACGAAAACACGACGCCTTATCGGCTGTCTCCAGTTCCCTGGTCTCCTATTTCTTGTGGCTTAAAAAAAAACTGTTCTATTCTTCCCAGCTTCTTCTTGCAAGCAGTGCGGTTCACTGACGTCCAACAGCCGTCCCGCACCGTTTGTGAATGACGCCCCACTTTCGTGCTGCGCCTTCAATTATCATTTTTTTCCGCGCCGTGGGTAATTTTTATGACAAAGCGTGGGCGATGATGGCATTCGCACCCGTTTGTCAACGCCTCGTTTAGGCAAAGAACTCTCATGCAGCGCGGGTAAAGTGGGTAAAATCAACTCTGAGAAGACCCGTTTCACGATCCGCCAATTTATCTTGAAGGAACACCGCAGACAATTTGAAGAAAAGAGACAAGAAAATACAGTCAGGAAATTATCTCGCTGTAAATCCTCGCAAATCCGTTCGCCTTCAGGCCTCGGGGATGAACAGATTTCACTTCGAACTGAGCTTCATTTTTCCCATCGAGACGTTAATTTTGGTGCATTTCAAACTTGGAAATTATGACATTTCCGGAAGAGGGTCCGGAGCGTACACAAAACTGGAACCATTCGAAAAGCTTCAGCTTCCAGTGGACTAATTTAGAAATTATTCATTTAAAATAATTGCCGAACATGTACAGTACTGTAGTGTACTCAAATTCCTGTTGAAAAGTACTTAACAAGATTTTCCTATCCATTGATGAGAAGATTTGTATCCATGTTGTTCCATCAAGTGAACCGCAATAGGCTCTCACTGACGTAACTCTGCTCGGTACTTGCGCAATGCTACACAGAAACGAAGAGCGAGAAGCTGCCTGCAAGTTCTTTGTCGGCGCTCTGCTTATATTTTTTGCAAACAGTATTGGATTTTTTTTAGAGAAGAACTGTGCAACCCCTTTGCCATGGGGGCAGCACTTCGCCCACAGCGCGTACGTGAGAATTCCTCAAAAATCCCTTCAACGCATGATGCTTCCGTTCACGGGACATTATTTTCTGTTGCCTCCGCTGGGGAAAATCCGTCGAAACCGACGGGGCCAGACGCCAAATGCGGCACACAAGGATTGCGTTTCCGGCGCCGGCTCTTTTGCGAGGATAACGGGGGCGAGTTAGCCGGAAGAACCTGGCCCGTTCCGCGCCACGCGGCCCGGTGCGTATAAACAACTCATCTGACATTTCAGCGCGGAGGAGGCAAGGTAAATACAAGTTTTCTTGTCGAGCCATCGTTTCGAACGGGAGACTCGCGAGCAAGCTGACACCTTGCTCAGGTGGAAAGGAAATCAGCGTCCCCTTGGAATTTAATGGCATAGTATTTTTACAGCTACTGTACTATATTCGCAGCACGACTTACGGAGGGGGGACTCTTCAGCCGGTGGCACCCTATAGTTTCTTTCCGTATGCTGCGCATCCAAGATAAAAATTCGGAATGTTAAATGTTGACTTCAGTGCTCGAAGGCAAAGTTAACTCCAGCCCATGAGGTAAATCAATGCATTATGGAGGTAATAACATTTTCGGGGTTGAATTCGAGCGTGAAATAACATAACTACACCCAGGTCTAAAATCAGCATCCTAGTTAAATGTGGATTTCATGCTCTGGAATCTCCTGAGCAAATATAGAAATACGAGGGGTTACACATTTCCGCGTGGACTCGTTTCGGCGCGGACTTGAAGTGACGTGAATACAGGGATTTTTAAAAACATTTTTCTAATGTTCACTAGCTCCAAGAAGAGACTTGGCAGACACCTTCTCAATGTCACCACCAATTTATACACACTTCTCCGCCCTTCTGGTCCATGTGTTGAAACAGGCTTTGAAACATTCAATTGTTAACTTATTTTTAAACTTCCCGGGAACAACAGCAACAAGCTGATCCGCGCGGAACCGTGTAACCCCTCGTATACAAGTACTGTATTTCTGGGGGTGCACCCAGCAGGAGGTGATACCTGAACTGGACATAAATTCATTTTCAAAGTGGAGCGATTCACGAATTGTTTGGGAAGCCTTACATTACTGTGCTATATACTCACTTTACGTCTTGTTCTCATTCATTGGTATGTTGATAATTTGCGCGACGAGCAGAAACCTGACAAACTACAGTCTCACTAAGATTCACGCATCCATTCATGAAAAAACTGGCTCATGAACTATCGACTCACGCGGAACGAAAACACGGACTGTCTAGTTTTCCATTTACGACTTCAAAAATACGACAGTTGGAATGAAGTTTATCTCACGAAGAACCCCAAACAAATCTCAAGTTTTCTCTTGAGGAGCTACGCGTGAAAAATTAATGTTATTTGCATACTGCGAGGCACGTTCTGCTTAATGCATACGGAACGAGCTTTCAGAGGGCTTCATTGAGTAGAGGTGGAGTCATTTTTGCGATATTAGGTGTGAAGTATAGAGGAATGGTACAGGTTTAAGAAATTGAGCTAAAATATTCCGTTTTTTAATTTGTATTCTACGAGAAAAACAAAAACAGTATTCTAGTCTCCAACCGATTTCATCAGAAGCATTCTTCCGTTCTTCAAGCAGACGAAAAGTCTGACACCAGTTCATCTCCTATCCAGAACATTTTCGTGGCCGTGAAATTCAAGAATACTGTACTGTATTTTGCATTTATGCTGTCATGCTCTTCGGAAATGTCGAGCTCGATATCTCAGATCTTCGCCTGTCAATTCACTGATTGATTTTTTTAATGTACACGAGATAATTTTATCTTGAATATTTTACTGCATACATCACCCAAAATTATCTTTTATGCCCCATGCCCATTCCATAATGGCGTCAAGTAAAGCAAGTCTAGTACCAACTCTCTTTCTCGTGATATGGCCGAGAATTAATCGTGATACCTGCACCGCATTTTTTTCTAAGCATAGTAAATAAACGGCAATTTATCCTTTTAATGAAACCTATCCCGCCAGACCTCTTTTTTATCTGAGAAAGCTGAGAGGAAATGGATGCTCACCTGGACTAATGGGACTGCCGTTTCGGAACCACTTGATGGACGCCACGGGCTTAGCGTCATAAGCCTTGCACGTGAGGGTCACCGACTCACCGGCATTCGCCTCCTTGATGCCATTGCTGTCCGCATTGGTTTCGATTCGATCAGGCGGCACTGCGGACAGAAGGAGGAAAATCACATCAGGAATGCGAAATGTGGTCATTCCGCGCACTCGTGACGATGGGAAAGCGCTGGGCTAAGCCACAATACCCTCGATACCCGAAATGCCGATGCAATCGCATTGCAATATTCTTACGACGTTGTACAACGATACGCACAAGATTTTACAGCTGTACTTTAAGGGCATACGACAAGTTCTCTCCGTTGAATTGAAAGCAGGGGGAGATGTTTCTCTCGTTGACGTTGGAACGCCCCCACGTGCTACCCAATTCATACATTTTTGCCTAGAATCATGGTAATAATGAAACCGACATCACAGTACAGAACATCCATACCCAGCTTCACCGTGAGATCGCATTGCAATGCAGTAATTACACAGCTATAGGTCGCAACACATTCAGGCAACTATTCGAGGAAAAAGTTATGAATCGTGAACATTTGGTAAATTTGGAAGGACAGCGGCTCACACAAGGATACAATAATTCTTAAATTTCATAGCAATTGAAATTACATCAAGATTGCGTGGGTTCGGACTAATCTAGAATAGAGGCCACACTCGTGGTCTACAGCTCATTTATTTCCGGAAAACGGTTGGGTTTATGATATTTGTAATACAGTATACGCAATTCTCAAGTGAGCGAGGTATTTTCGAAATTTCAAAGGCGGGATGGCCGGAATTTCTTGGAATTCGACAAGTCCTCTCGGTTAAATAGCGCATGAAGAAATACACTTGTGAGGCTGGCATCATGAGATGCTCTCTTATGCAAAAGCTCGTTCGTAGATGTCAACGAAACCTACATCGTATATAGGGAAAAATATGAGCATTTCTTCTCCGACTAGTTCGCCTGCCGTGTGATGAGCTCAGTTCAAAGATTTGTGGGCTCCATGCGTCGTATGCCGGGGAAAACGAATAGTGCGAGCGTGATGGAGTTCCCGCCGTCACCTGACGGCAAATCTCCGGAAAATAACACTCCTCGTCGCGTGACGATAAATCTTTTCTACGCTGGCCGTCGTCGACTGACGCCCACACTGCTGTCAGAAAATTCGTCCACTTCTCAATTTCACTTTCATAAGTCCCATAGTTCCGGATACAATACGATGGGACAAAGGAGCGATCCTTTTTCGATTTTTTTTTCTTGTTTTCCGGAACGATCCGCCGTTTCATCGCATAAGGGTAACCCGCTCCTGGTGGTGCCTTTCACGGCGCGAAAACTTCTCGCGTCATCAACGGCCAATTTCATGGGTTTCGGTTATTATCCAGAAGCTTCCACATTATAAGAGTCAGATTTGCCTACCCATTCCGAAGGGGTCGGAGGAAGATTCAGTAACCTCGTTTTTCGTCTGACGTCAAGCTGAACAATTTCTCTCGGTTCTGTGGGTCTTCCGCTCTTGTTCAAGCTTTCTTCCGGAAGAATTCCACTTCTAGTAGTTCAAGCATTTAATTCATCTGATTTTTAAAAAGGAAATTTGAATATGGTACTGATTCGTTTACATTTTCAGCTTCGAGGATTTATATTGTTTTCTTGACATACTTTTCAAATTAATGATATAGCTTGGAAATTGCGAATTAGCGAATTTAAATTACGCTCATATTTGAAAGGATAATTACTTGCATGAAGAATCTCGGTTTCTCGATCGGGTACCACACGATTTTCAGAAGAGGTTTATCTAGCAGTTCACAGTACAAGGACATATTTCCAATTGAATTCGTTGTTTTTCCCATGGATCTACATTTCATACGCGTAACGCTGAAATAAGTACCGTAAAAGTTTTTAGATAATTGACCCGTTTGAAAAATCCAGAACAGCATGATAATGACACAGAGGTGCGGGGTCTCCCCCGTAGCTCAAGCGAAAAATTCTTAAATTAATTTTATACCAAGAAGTAGCGCCAACAATCAGCAAGAACTACGATGGAAGTTACTTCATGAGAAGAAAGAAAAAAAAATCGGACAGGAACCGATCTTTTGGGACCCAAGAAAGTGGTTTTAAAGACATTTGGTAACCCTAAAGCTATGTTGTTTAAAATTATTTTTTGAATGATCCCGCTGTACAAATCTATCGGCTCCATGAGAAGAAAAAAAGTTGGAGCCATACTGTGGTGTAGGTAGCTTTGAACCTCAGTCAGGCTCTCACCGTTTGTTGACGTAAGTACAATCCGCGCAAAAGGGAAAAATTACTCTTTTCTCCCCAAGGCACACAGTCTAGGATACGGTGGCGGGAAAAATGCTCTTGATACATGCGGCGATTACGGATGCTCCGAAGAGGCGAGCCAAGGAATCGAGTTTCTTTCAAGGAGGGACGCGCTAATTGATTGAGCTCCAAGCAGGCCTGTAATGTGTAGGCATTTCTTCCCATAGGATCTCTTCGGTTGATGAGGATTCTTGCCGGAATCGCAAATCCTCTCCAATCCGAAGAGAAACCCATCAATTCAAACGGTTTCGAAGCAGCACGCTTCATTCTTTTCTCCGCGAAGCTTCGTTGGGGGGCGCAGGCTGAGAGGTATCGCTTTCAGTACTCGCCCTCCTTGAGTTCAATGCATAATAATGTGCTGAATTTAGGAAACCCCTGGGTTTCTCCGTGAAGGGGAATGCGTTCCTTTTGTATCTCGTGAATACGACGCAACGCAAAAATTATCCCGCTCCTCTTTGTTTCGCTCCGAATCTCAACAACGCAGCCATAAGAGAAACGAGATTGGTGTGGAATCCGAAGAGGGATTTCTGGGCTTCGGAGAGCCACTCAGATTCAAAATCGAGTTGTTTTAAAAATGGACTCCATTATCGACGTGCAACAGCTTGAGCAGAGCATAAAATATGTAGTACAGTACTGTATTTTGAAATCAATCACGTCTCCTACGCTGAACCCCTATCGGAAAATTTTAAAATTGTATTCGCACGATGCGTGGACAAAAATATTTTCCGTACTTTATTTTTTCTTCATTTCTTTTAGAAATTCTAAAGCATCATCTTCTCTAAGATTAGCCTTACCCATTATTTGTCCTTTTCAAGAAGTGGACAGAAAAATTGGGCAACCTGGTATCTTTTTTCTCATTCCAGAATCTACAGCTTTTGAGAAATGCGCTTTTGATTCAGATCGCTGATTTCTCGATTTAAAAAAACAGCCTATTATGCGAAGTAAAATGATCAAATCACAGCAGCAAAGAATTACGCAAATCTAGCAGAATAATGGTGCAATCCTGAAAGCTAGCGGATTCGCTGGAAATTCTCTGCCATGGCATGCAGTACTTTACTAGAAAGCGTTCGAATTCTTCTTCTTGTATTTGACAGCATTCATTGCTGAAGTAAGAGATGTGGAAAGTTGAAAAGAGCTACTATTTTGGAACGCCCTTCGCCGAACCTCGAACGACTGCTAAAGAGAATAGCTTGTACGGCGAGGAATGACAAAATGTGATTGATGGATGTTTGTTCGACAGAAGTAGGCATTTCTTCGGTGGCAGAGAAGCGTAGAAAGAAACGGAATAGAAGTTTTGCGGTCAATATATTCCATGAAGAAATGGACTGAATCGACTTTTTTCTAGCAAATATCAAGAGCGATAACGCAGGTCAGTTTGGCGTGCTCGTGGCCATCCGAAGAAAATCTCTGCTAGTTTTTTTTTTTTAATTTATTTCGCTGTCCACGAAAATAACTTTCAGTAAGGCAAGAAAGCTTTTACGTTTTTATTTAATGTCGCGTATTAAATGCCTCATTATTTTGTTCACTGGAACAGCGGCAATTTTCTAGACTTTCAAATGGTCTACGTCATTCCATCGATAAACGCAGAACGTCTTGCTCGGGGATTGAGGAAAATGTTCGTACAGGGTACGTCTAACTTTACCCCAAGCTGAACTGGCTCATCCATTATTCCCAAATGCTTCGGATGAAAACACCGGCGGCTGAGGGAAACTAACCCGCCTAAGTGGCCAAATGTCAGCGACGTGACTTCACAGCTGAAAACTTTTTCAGCTCCATTATCTCATCATGAAATGACACTCACGGTTTGAACGTGGATCGTTGGGTGGCCGAGATTCGATTTACGCACCGAAGGATTTTCGACAAGGCTCTTCGTCGAGGGCCCTGGTAGACCTGAAACTCCTTTCAGCCGGAACGAAACAATTCTATTAACACGCTCACGGCCTACAAAAAACTTTTCTTCAGGCCATCTCTTCCTCCTCTGATTGCTCCTTCCCCTGACTTTTCATTCAATGCGCAAAGATTTCCTAATTGCGGTAAATCGGAAGTTCAGGGGGAACTTCTTCAAGTTCACCGTTAATATCTGCATGCATGCCGCGAAGACAAGGAGCATCTGTGACCTCGGCAAATGTTCCAGAATCTTGCCTTTATTTTGGGTAGGTATTTCGCATTTTTCAGCGGGATGTTTACAGTCGCATAGAGCTCGAAGGGAACTAGTTTTCCTTCTACACGACTTCAAAGAGACTGTACACAAAATAATAAGGAAGAATTATTACGGGGTAAATCTCTCATCTTCCGAGGTTATACAGATCCCTGACAAGAGTCCCTTCCTGCATTCCATGTTTTTCTTGTCCTAATGAAGGAACTTGCAGACTCAGATATAGGAATTGCTTAGGGTTGTCCGTCATCCTGGGCGTGGGTGCGCTGTCCGTTGACCAGTTTCTCAAAGTATGGACAAAACGATACTTTTCTTTCATATCAGTGAACGGTCTCTTTTGAAAAACAATATCGTACACTATGTTATGAAGCTACGATCAAAGAAAAAAATCAGCAGTTAGTTTTGTTGAGCTATAACGCGATGAAATCCGAGCACTCCAAACGCCCATCGCAATCTTATGAGGAGCATCCAGTACTTGATGCTGCAATCCAGGAGGGGGTCGATTATATGGAACATGGGAAATTCGGATCAACTATTGATAAAAAAAAGTTAATAAAACGTAAACTAGCATATTTACGCGATTTCTGCCCCGTGAAATGCGGTAACAAAAATTGAATGAGGGTTCACAGTCGAGGCATTATAGTGATTCGAGGATATGCCAAAATGATTTACGAGGGGAAGTAAGGCCCATACTCGAAGTCATTTAGTGATTACATGACGCGAATATTGCATTATCGGCCTACCCAGGATAATTTTCAACTTGTTCATTTAGATTAAATTTCGCATTCTAAATGTAATTATTGCTGCTTGCGCGTTGGCTAAATTTAGCTCGTTGTTCTCCCTTCTAATTATTAAAATATTTTTCTCGGGAATTACTGCTCAATATAAGGGCAGCCCAAACCAACACGAAACTTACTCTCGTCTGTGCATTTATCCCAGCAGTCGACAGCATCACTCACGGAGGTCATTTTGTTTCTTACATTTTTCAATTAAATTAAACGCGTCGGAGTCGAAGTGTGCTCAGCTGACCCTTCCTAAGCAATGGCGGATTGCAGCGTTTACACCAGAAATAAAAATTATCGTCTAACTACGTCATGTGAACTCGCTCGTCTGCCAGTAACTCCTCGGGGAGCGAGAATGATCTGAATTTCATTGTTGGGGCGCGCGAAGGCAAGGCCGGCCGGGTGTCTTTGAAATCAGCAAAAAGGAGGGGAGAAGAGAGAAGAAAATGAAAGTTTCGGGCGAATAGTGCCCCCTGACAGTGCATCAATCATTTACTCGACGCGATCCACGGGGCCGGCCCGGATACACGTAATGCGGAACTTCTGGGGAACGAACTCCGGTCTGGATTTCGCCGGGGTAACGAAACATTCTCCGGTGCCACTTTGTGCCTCCGGTTCGCTGACTACTTCCTCTCTTCCCTTCTCAATTTTCTCGCTCGCCTTCGACATAATCGTCGCGAAATTCCCGTTCCCCCGTGAGTCCGCGTCGATGACGCCCCGGGGTAAACTTGCCGACGAATTACCCGACGCATCGTCATCGAGCCCTGGTTGGTGACTTCATTTGGCTCCCAGGAAACTTCTCTGATCCCCGAAAGGAGAAAATTCTCTCATCATGGCTTTCTTACCCTCGCTGAGATGTCCAGACTGTTTAGATAAAATTTCATCAAACCCCAAGAACATTACAAGATGTAAATGCAGCTTACATTTTAATTTCGTTGCAGAAATAAATTTCCGAACTCGATGATCCGCTGTGAAATAACACGCTGATTTATAGACGTCCCCCCCCCCCCATTTAAATTCTTCCTTGGTTAGCTTAACATTCGGGGTCTATAGCCAGCTTAAAACCCCGGAGATTGTCACGTATCATTCGGAGGGCATTTTAATTTCCGGACTCTTTTGTACGCGAAGCGTGAATCACTGCCCATTCCCCTTTGTCGGAGATATGAGGCTGAGTCTTGGTAGCCCATTAGGGTGTGGGTTTCCGGAAGAAAATGTTGACTTTCAGGCCAGACGCGCGAGGAAATTCCCAAGAACGTGATTTTCTGAAGATTGGCGTGGTCGGCTTTGGAAATTTTAATCCATTTACGCAGAGGAGCTTCAGACTATACTCCCAGAGGTGTGAGAACCCCTCGTTCTGGAACAGCAACTTATCTCTGCACATTTACCGCCATGTGATTTTATTCCGAGGGAAATTCTCTGACGGGAACTTTCTACGTGGAAGTGGCTGGCATTTTTCAATGGAATGAGTTTAGATCAGACGCGGAATGACGGGAGGAGATCCGAATGAAAATATATGAAATCCTCCCGAAGGATTCATATCAGGTTATCTTCCGGCGATTTCTGATGGAAGGGATGATCTATTCTGGCGAATGATTTTCATTTACAGTGCATCGAGGTATAAATGGTGAACAGTTGGAACTCACCTGATTATTTCAATGCTATTTCGTTGCATGTTTTTCAACGAAACCATCAAAGCATTTCTTTATATTAGCATAGTACAAATACAGTATGTTATCCCTTATCCGAAATTCAATCTTGAAGGTTACAGAAGTAATCTTGTAGAACGAACTCCAATCAGCCGAGCATCCAATTATCCAAACCCGCCCACATACAGTATTTTGAGAAAAAAATTTCCCTGGTTCCCAGATTGCTGAATTCAAAAACTTCCACCATGATTTTAAAGCCTGGCGTGAGAAAACTCCTTGCTTGTTTTGAAGATGAATTCTACATTTGCAACAAACTCTATGCGGTTATTCGAACACTTGATCTGAATCAAGATTGGTCGCAAGAAGTTATGAAATCATAGTTATAATGCAGCATGTAGATCCATGTCATTACAATACTGTATATTGATTCGGAAGCACTTTCGATAATTTTTCGTATTAGGTCTGCTGACCGAAATACACGCGGACTCACACTAGAACTAGACTCGTGGCAAAATATTTATGTAACATACATTGCAGTAGAAAGATGTAGTCAGTTGAAAGGTTTTGATTAGTGGGAAAAATGTGTTGCACGAAGAGCATTGTTACAGATGACAGGAACTACTCGGAGAGAATTGAACTTTCGCATTAAAAATAAGAATTTTCAGTGGCTTTTTGTGGAAAACGAGGACAATGTTAGCGTTTAGAAGAGTGTAGCTGGGGGAATTATGCAACGCAGGTGCAAATAAAATGAGTGTGACCTGACGGGACGATAGATGGAGAGAATTTCGCAATTCTGCATACCGTACACGTGATTCGAAGATTCTTCGGCTCACCAGAAACATATTTTGTCTAACGCCTCAGACACCGTCGAGGTCTTCCATTTGTATGCTTGTAATTATATTAGATCGAGAAAATCAATCGTACTCACGCAAAACATTGACGGATGTTTTCGCACGCAGCGGGGGGTTGTTGCCAGCTGGTAACACTTGACATTCAAACTCCACGTTGTCGCTGAGATTTACGTCCTTCAGCTGCAACTTGTACTCGCCCGCAGACTCATTACCGATGATCTTGTAGCGATCGTAGCCGGGTAAGTCTCGATTGAACCCTGTAATAGCGAGAATCGTTCAATTAAATGACGGCTGAAAAGACGACGATCGGACAAGGATCCGCGGATTCAACCCCCCGGAGAAATTCCAGTTGACGAGACGCTCGCTGGAAACTTTCCTGGACCCTCGTGCCCACTTTCCGGACACTGTTTCCGGGTGATTCTTTTTATTGGAGGAGATTGGGTTCTAGAGTTTCTTTTTCCCCCTTTTGTGCTCTGTCGGATGCACATGCACATTCGGGATCACAACCGTGTGCTTCCTTCCGCACACTGCCCTCGCGTCAAGGGCTCGGAATTCAGAGCGATTCTTTCAGTGTAGCTCTCTTTCAATGGACTCTCTGCGAGACCTTGCAGTTTGTCCCTCTTCCGAAAACTTGACGCCGGGCCAATTTTTTCATAACTCCGAATAGCAACGCAGGATCACGATTTGCAGCTTTTTAATCCGTGTCCAAGCACGATTTTCGAGGAAATTCCGGAGAGAAACTTCTTGGGACGGTTCACGATTTTCTTTCGCGAGAGCCCACCCATTCTTGTTTCCATTCCGGGTTAGCTTTCCATACGCTTTTTTAGCTTCCGGGCTAAAGTATACGGTTTGACTTCTGGGAAGCCAAAAAAGTGCGTAACACATGTCTTCCTGCAAGCACTTGGTAGGTTTTCGTAGTTGATTTTACTCTTACAGTACGATGAAATTTTTTCAACTTCTGCGTTCCTCAGGCTCTCATGCTTTATGCTGTATCCAAAAATTGAATGTCGCTTTTATCCGTGTATCACCGCACTTTCCTTCGAATACTGTTATGTTCACCTTTTTTGCAGCCTCCAGTGCTTCCAAACTGCTGACCGAAATCTGTCTATAATCGCGTGAATATGCTTAATCAGTGCCACTTAGCTCGCAAAGCTAGGAGGAAAGCGAACGATGTTGGCATGAAGCCTAAATTTAGAGGACGTAGAGCTAAATAACATAAACAAGGAAAAATCGTGCGTAAATATCTTACACAGCCATTCGATGTGGTATGCGAAGTGAAATAGGACAGGCAAAATGAGCTCTGAGTAAAGCACAGACTAAGTTTCTTTCTTTCAAGTAAAAGCGTCCCAAAAACCCGGCTCCCCGATTCCAACGACCTTCCGAAGAGTTCATCGATCTTCTCCAGTGATATATGAAGATATAGAAATCGTAGCTCAAAACAGAGACACGAGATACAAGACAACAATGCGGAGCAGCGGGGAACGAGGGGGGTCCGATGGAATTCATGCGCGTTCGACTGGGAGACGTTTCATCTGGGCGAGCTTTTCGCCGGGCCATTTGTTCTCGTAGTATCCTTGTGTTTGCCGTCCAAAGCATCTGTTGTTGACTCGGCCGCGGGTTCGCATCCCACGACCTCGGGTATCAGTTACCGAGAAGGAGATCCGTCAAAGGGAGCAACTTTGGTTGGAAAGCTTTGAAACGGGCCTCGGGTTAGGAGGAAACCCGAGCCAGACTGATCATTGTCGTCCGTGCGTCGTCAAAGCACGGCGAATTTTCTCAGGGGTAGCTCGTGGATCACCTTTTCGTTAACGCCTTAGGGCAAGAACTCAAAACATTGATAAAAGCTTTGAGTTACAGCTCGCAAAACTGTCTCGTACGTCTTCATTTCAGGTGCTATTGTGATGTTTCTTCTCTAATTCGGCGGAGTAAGAGTTTATCTTCTTTCGCAAGGAGCATAATGAACTATAGCGTATATTGCGGTAACCCTCACATTGAAAGACCGGGATAAAATTTCACCTCATCGAAAACATTTCGAACATTTTAATTACAGCGACGTGATCGTGGGATCTGTGGGTTCATCTGCGTAATAAATGAAATTTTCGGGCCGAAAAGTGATCGAGAAAGCATTACAGTACCACAGAATCTCTTCAACTACAGTATTCCTCTCATACGAATTTTTTCTCTCGAAATTAATCCCTTGTTACACTCGCATCTAGTTTCTAACCCTATCACAAATTTTTAATTGAAAAAGCTACATATTATAGTTTTTCTACACTCACGAAAATGAATTTATCATTAACAAGTATTACAGTATTCTCCAGCCTAAATGGCTTTTTTGTAATGCTTTTTTCAATTATTTAATATCCATACATGTGAGTGCAAAGGGAATGAACACTCTTTGTGTAGTGCTTCACATAAAAGCTAATGTAGTGACAGCAAACAGTATTTGCATTGAGCGCTAATTTTCGTCCGGCGAGCTGTCTTACTCGAGAATTTGTGGCAGAACCCATTAGAGGGCAACAGGTGACCGGGAAAAACCCCAGGGTTTTAAATGACAGCGCGACAGGGAGGGTGGAGCGACAGAGGTCTGAGGCTGTCGTCGGGATGTCGACTACTCCGGGGGATCAGATGTCGCCCACGCTACGATTTCCCACGGTGTCCTCGGGCCAAAACAACGGAGAACCCCTCGACGAAGACGCGCCTGCGCACAGATCGGTGTCGAATTCCTCTTCGGGAGCATTTCTCTCATTCCCCCCTGCATCCCTCATGAAACTTGGAAACTTCTGAACAAACCTTACAAAGATTTCTTTCTTTCAACTTCACAGATGTGTCGGGGGGGGGGGGGTCTTTGCGCTTCCAGCTGCTCCTTGTGTTGCTGTCCGACTGATCAGGTTGTTTCTGGCACTTAGTCTGATGTACGTAAGCTGTTTTAAAATTCGACTTTCAAATGGCGCAATGCGAAAATTCCGAGAAAACGCCGGAAAGACAAAATACAGAGCTGCAATATTCACAAGGTAAACTGTTGTATAATTACTGAGGGAGTACGGCTAAGAAAACGTCTTGATGACATTTCTTTCGGAGGCATTTTACCTCTTGGGATTTTCTTTATCCCTATGTTAATGCTCGTCCTTCACATCATGTTCTCCACCGCGTCGTTCTTTTGCCGAGGTACATTTGAATGAACATTCTGGAGTATTGTTTCATATATCTTTGTCAACGCGTCCGAAGGAAATCAGAGAAATTATCAATTCAGTGTGATCATCTCATCACCTGATGAAAATGACTGGAAGGTTCCCACTGAGACAAAAACTGAAAATGTAAAGAACTCCGATCATTTTGAGCAATGGCCGGCAACCTAACACAGTATGGTGAAGTCACTCTACAACGAAATTCCACGGACCAGAAGAAATTGTTGCGGAGAGAATTTCGTCGTTGAGAACCCCTATATCATGGGGAGAGAACCCCAAGGGACCAAAAGTAAAAAATTCTTCACACCTGCACGGAGAAAATTGTTGGAAACAAAATCTTAATTACCAAAACAAACAAACAAAATCTTTGCCGGGAGACTTCACGAGTATCACTGCACAAATGATCGTCCATCCGATGATCGTACGCAAGAGGTGAAAATTAAACAGGAAAAACTACTGTACTGTACTTAACTCGTCAAGTCCGTTCTTCTGGATAATGAGTCCATCTGAGAGAAACACTACGGCTCCTGTTAAATTTAATTCGGGCTTTTCTCGAAGTATATCAAAATTTCGGCTCGGTTAATTGGATGCCAGGGACCTGATAATTGGAGCTGCTAGTTTCTTTCCATTAGAACAATTCCAGACGGGTTTCTGAAGTCTGTGAACGGCAGACTTCAGTTTGCTTGAGAACAGACCTACTGATGCTGCTGCGAAGGGATTCACTTGCGAGAAGCGCCTTTCATGGCTCAATCTCGCGTCGACACGCAGCAGGGGGTGACGCATGCTTCGACGGCAACTGCTTCACGCACCCACGCAGCCCCGAAACCCGTACGAGCATTCATTCCCCCCGCTTGGATGCTCCCAAGTTGCAACGCGACATAAATAGCCTAACGAGGATTGAGTCCCCGCAGCAACAACAACAACGGGTCGCCTTGATTTCAAACACGACAGGCTGGCTTACACCCGGATCCCATTTCGAGAACACCGTTTCGTAAAGTGCATCTGTCATCGGCGCTTCTTGAGAACCCCTCGACAACGAAATTACTCGCGTAAGCACCGCAGGGGTACAGTTCCGTACTGACTTCGCATCGCCGGACTGCTGCGCTTGTGACCGGGAAACCAGAAAAATTTTCTCGCCCCCAAAAGTACATCTTTTGCGAGGAAAATGGGGTACAGTACCCAAAACGATTCCGAGCATTACCTGAGGCTTCCATCGAAAGCTGAGTTGTCCTTACAGAGAACTTTGTTCGAGGAAAGAAATAAGAAGGTTTTCTGGGAAGTACTGACTGGGAACGATTTCCTGAGTGATTTTGAGTCCAACGGATTGTCAGAATCATCGCAAGAAAGAAAAAGAGGCTCTCATCGGCATTTCGATGCCTTCGCTCTCGACAGCACCACAAAGAAAAGAAGAAAAAAAGCAACCCACCGTACACAGCGAAATGCAAAAAGAAAAATGATGACAGGCTTAAGGCATGGAGATGAGGCAACGAATTCTAGGGGATGGCATTCAACGGCGAAGTGCTTACCGAGCCGCGACGCGATGAATTTCCACCCCCGAGGATTGTAGCGCATTCTTGTAACCTACGCGCTTTGTTCCTGTCCTGGAATTTCCCTCGAGTTCCTCGCTACAGGTACACCACAGAACTATGGCCATTACAAGGTTCTCTGACAAGGTTGAAAAATGCTGCGATCTCTACTCATGTGCCAAAGAGGATTTGACTATTCGTCCGGGGTCGTCTAGAAAAACGCTGAACAGTGATGTTTTTATTTTAAACATAGCTTTCATTCAGCGGAGATGCTGTACTGTGTACATTTTCAACGGTTGGAGATGCAGCAGTTCAGATATTTTTTTCGTTCTATTTCATTCCTAAAGAATGTTTGCTCAGGATTAAAACATGCAAATCGGGCAGGAGAGTGTGCAAGGTGCTCATAAACGGCATTGATACAGCTAGGCAATACAGCTAGAGTTATACAGTAATATGATATTGTACGTAACAGAAAGATAATTTTTTCAACTTTAATTGGACTCATTTTGAGTTTAAAGCGTCAGATATCCAGGAGGTAAATGAACGATTTTAAAATCGTTAAGCATTTCCCTTCTGCACCCTGTATTTTGCAGACTTTCAACGAGAGCGATCCTTTTTATCATGCTATCTTCCGAGTTGAATCTTGGTTCAGATTTCCAGGAAATCGGTCTTTGTGTCGCTCTGTCAATAATGTGAATCTTTGCATTTCGACTGGGAAAATCGGATGCGGGAAATGCTCTCGAAAAAAGTTTCCCATAAAGAGAAAACGCCTCAAGGACA